TTTTAAAAATGTTTATTCCATCCCTTCTGATATAATTTGCCATAATAACTTGCAATTGCATACTGCTTTCCTGATTAGACTGCATGTACATAATTTCATTTGAGTTTCACAGCTTTGAGACTCGGAGAAGCTAAGAGATTTGCATGGGGGTCACACAGGAGATCCAAACTCCAAATTCTTCAACCCAGATTTCCTTGTTTACAACTGCCTGTGTTTCCTATTATCTACAGTCTCCCTTCAGCTGTGGTGATTATAGGTATCATTTTCAGAACTGTTTATAAGGTGCTGTACCTTAGTTAAAATGTATCATTTGATCAGCATGGTTAGAAGTGTCATCCCCTTTGGATGACACTTTGGATGAACAAGGAAACTGAGCCTAGGCAAATTACCATTTCCTAAGATCACCCCGTTTGTATATAGCAAGCTTGGAATGTGCACCCCGGGTTTGGCGGTTGACCCCTGAGCTCTTGATTACTAAGTTCTTAACTACCAGGCCTGTGCTGCTCAAAATGTACTGTGCATTACAACAAATTCACGTAGAATCCAGGGCTCTTTCCCCAGAGTTCTTGATTGAGTGGGCCTGGGTGATCTTGAGATCTCTGCAGTTCCCAGATAATGCAGGTGATACCAGTGGCTAGGAGAACAGTTGGTGGCATGGTAGGTACCACTCTGCCCCTCCTCTTGCTAGTGACACTGACTCTCTACTAGAAACAATGCATTCTGTGTGGTGACAAAAAACTTCAAATATGTGTTATTCCGTAGCTCATCTTAAATGGGGTATATCCTGTATATTGTCCAGGACAACTTTAGGAAGAAAATTGTCATAGATATTGAGTGGTACTGGCTTCCAGGTTAAATCCAAGGTCATGTCCTTTTTACTGCACATTTCTTTGTAACCACCTCCTGCGTCATTTCCTCTGGAGTGGGGATTGTAATGCCTGTTGGCAAACTGGTTTATCAATTAAAGGTGGAAATTCTTAGAGAGCAGTTACCACATCTCCTTCCCAACTCGTTTAGGTTAGTGTGTTTGTCTTTAAGGTATGTGCAATGATAGCATGCTGCGCATTTCCTGACTCAAGCAGGAGAACTGGTCTACTTTAGAAGAGTGTCCCCCCACTTGACCTCTCAAGTCTACCTGCCTGTCTCCCCCACCTCTAACTAACGATAACACTACTCAGTTCTCCAGCCCTGTAACGACGTGCTGTCCCAAATGTTATGAAAACGGAGCAGTGAGTGTATCCTTTAGAGAATGGCTCTGGGCTCAGCATTAACATCCTTGGGGTTCTTGTATATGCGAGTCGTGTGTCCCATTTCATTTTATTTGATTCATTTTTCGAGAAGTGTTCTAGGCTATGTCTGTACCACAGTCTGTTTTCTCTTTCATGCTTTGAAGGGCATCTCTGTGCTTTCTACTGTAGGGCTATTACAGTTAAAACTGCTGTCCACATTTGTGGACAGTGTTTCCATGTAAAAGTAAGCCTTCATTTCTCTGGGAGAAATGCCCACATACAAGTGCTGGGTCATATGAAAGTCCATTTTTAGTTTGGGAAGGAACTGCCAAATTGTCCCCAAAGCAGCTTCACCATTTCACTTTCTTAGCAGCGCCATGGAAGGGTTCCTGTTTTCCACACCTCATCAATGCTTGTTCTCATCCGTCTTCTTCAGTAATACCTAGCGGGTAGCAAGTGGTGCCTCATTGTGCTTTGATTTCCACTTCTCCAATGACGAATGATGTTTGGTATCTTCTTGTGCTCTTCTTGGCACCTTATCCATTTTCTTTGGGGGAAATATCAGTTCAAATTCTTAGCCCATGTTTACATTGGATTCTCTTTTGGTTGAGTCAGAAGGGTTCTTTACATATCCTAGACAAAAGTTCCGTATAGGATGTATGATTTGAAAATGTTTACTCTGCTTCGATGGGTTGTCTTTTCCCTTCCTGGCAGGAGTTGGGTGTGGGTGTGTCTCCTTGGGTTCAGTTCTCAGTTCTCGTAGGCAGAGGTGGAAGCAGGTATAACGGAGCAGGTCGTGGAACAGATGCCAGTTATCTAAGGCTGGGCAGATTTTCTCAAATGGACATTTCTCTCTTTTGTTTATGCCTTTGGCACTATTTCAAGAAAGCTAAATCAAACTTTTTTTTTTTAATTTTTACTAGTAAAATGTTTGTTGTGGGGGAGGGGGATTCCAGAGGGTTCCTATGTGTCATGCTGGAGTGATGACTGTAGTTTTCTTTGGCAACGTGAATGCCTTTAGGAGATTTTACATCTTATCTGTTGTCAGATCATTCTTGGGTAGATAAACCACCTCTGAATAGTGTCTGTCTGAAAGCGACAATATGGTGAAAGTGTTTCGTAGAAGGACAGACGAATAAATGAATGGTTGAGTTAAATAAAAGAGCATCACAGGAGATGGAGGTAAAGGATACCAAAATAGGAAGTGCCCCAGTTCAAACCAGTAGCTGGCCCAGTTAAAGGGTATTGTTATCTCTTCAACTGAAGCTCCTCAGTATTTCATGAACTCATTGACCATAAAATCCAAAAGGGCTGAACATGCTTAAAAGTTGGAATGGAAAAGATTCATCTCAGTTACTTTTCTATTGCCATGGAGAGACACCATAACCAAGGCAACTTATAAAAGTAAGCATTTAACTGGGGGCTTGCCTACAGTTTCATGGGGTGAGCCCATCACCATCCTGGTGTTAAACACAGCAGAAGGCAAGCAAAGCATTGGAGCAATCAGGCATGGAGAAGAATTGGGAAGGGAGAGACTGGGCCTGGTGTGAGACTTTTGAAACCTCAAAGGCCACCCCCTGTGACACACATCCTCCATCAAGGTCACACCTCCTAATTCCGATGACAAAACTGATACCCCGAAAGCTCCCGTGTTAAGGGTTCTAACTGACTCAAGGGTGTTTTGCACATCTCAATATATGAATGGCTTCCAGCTTCAGTCATGTGGCTTCCTTTGCTACATCAGCAACTAATGCTTCTGTACAGCCATTTAAAAGTCAGTGTAACTGTCACTTGACTTTTCCCCAGGAGTTTTCTGCCCTTCTTTTCCTTCCACACGTTCTATAAAGTAAATTCTGCAAGTGGAAACTTTGAAACTTGTTACAATCCGGGACACTAATAAGATTTTACATTTTTAGCAGTTTAATGATGAGGATGTAGGACTGTGTGCTAGTCCCTCGGGGGTTTCTATTCTGGGTATCTGTTAAACCTTGCAGTAGTCTGAAGTATATTCGACCTTTCTATATTAAAAAAAAATTGGTTTAAGTTTCACACATAAATTTGTGTCTGTATATTCTTTTCCCCTTCTCTACCTATTAGGTAGACTTCAGACATTATCAACATTTGAGTTTGAAGATACTTGTCAATTATTTTTTTGTGTTTGGTGGAAAGAGAGATGTCATTACCATCAAAATTTAATATTTTTATTTAGCTAAATTTGATCCTTCTTAAAAATCCTTTCCACTTTGAAGTCTATTTTGCAGCTTAATTAATGCAGCAAGGGCTTTTTATTTTGCTCTCAATGGAGATAATCTTAATCTATTCACAGTGACCTTTTCTTGTGCAAATTAGTTGTACATGCTTGTTTAAGCAAATGGTCCTTTGCATGATGTCTCTTCTTAATGACAGGTTTATAATTGAAAATTGGCTTACTCCCATATGCCTAGTTTATATGAGAATATAAAAATAGATGTGGACTTTAAAAATATGAATGTATATATCAATATCCCAAAAAAAGAAGAGGGAAGAATCCAGCGCCTTCAGGCTATGGTTAAATTAGACTATTAGAGTTGGAAAATGCTGGTGACATATGCTACTGTCAGAGTCACACCTGTCTGCTCAGCATTGGAAGTGCTTGAAAAATGAGAACGTTTTCATCTTGGCTGGAGGATTCAGAGCCTTTATAGGACATGAGGCATCTCTCGCTACCCAAGTTTTCTTAAACTCCTCGTGAAGTTGAAGCTGCAGGTTTAGGAATGTGTTTGGTGTTAAACACCTATAAAGTGGGAGCCTCAAACAATTAAATGCTTTTTGGTGGTCCTAAATTTCACTAACAATAAGAGATGGGTGACACTCATGGTATTATAATTTGTCTGGAGTGCTCCCTCCTCCAAAAACACAAGCAAACAAATAAAAACAAAACAGTATAATACTATTAAATGGCATTTGAGTAAAAAGAATAACCATCCATTCTCTGTCCTAGTTTCCAATGCCTCCCTACTGTTTTTCTTTCTTTGTTATCGATCTCTCTCACTCTGCATATTAGCTTTCTTCTACCCCGTCTGCCACTCCCCCATCTTTCTGTCAAAAGTCAAAGCAACCATCCTTACACCATAGCACTATTTGTCAGGAGTCACTGAATGTTCTTGGTTAAATGTAGAAACCCCAGTTTGAAGAGAAAACAAATGTTGGCTTGCGCTTAGGATGGAGGTTTCCAAAGTATCTTTTAATAGCATGGTGTGGGGAATAGAGAACAAGAACATTTAGTGTTGCTGAGTGGCATGGCATTAAGGGGGAAGCAGATGCATCAGGGATGCTTCTCCTGCCTATGGGAGCAAACTGTTTCACAGGAGGAGCTGCATGGTGCACACCTTTAATCCCCAGCACAGGAGGCAGAAGTGGGTGAGTCTCTGTAAGTTTGAGGCCATCCTGCTCTGCAGAGCAAGTTCTAGGCCAGCCAGGGCTACATAATGAGACCTTGCCCCTCCCCATCTGATCTTGGGGGACAGAGGCTAGGCAAGACAAGTCATTATGAGGACCATTAGACCTGTCCTTTTATAAACTGTTTGCAAAAGAGATCCTGTTTGCTTTATACAATACGATTATCCTATTTGTACTCTCCATGCAACAAGCTCTCCAACCCCAAATGGAAAAGTGAGAGTAACCCTTCCCTAGGGTCATACATGAAGGATAAATGGATGCACCCCATGACCCTCAGCCATCCAATTTTCCTCTTGGATTTTCTCTTGCTGACCACGCCTCTTGTTGTTTCAGATATGATTATCGGGAAATGCTGCACAATGCCACTTTCTGTCTGGTTCCTCGTGGTCGCAGGCTTGGGTCCTTCAGATTCCTGGAGGCTTTGCAGGTAAGAGACTATGAAACGTCCCAGCATGGGGTTGAGGAGTGAAGCCAAACTGGTTTCAGCTTTCTCACTCTCCTAGAGTAGTCAAAAAGAAGCTATGGCTTTTGCTGAGAACCTTAAAAAAAAAAAATTCCCAAGAAAATCTGAACCAGTTTGAAGAATCAGAATTGGGAAGAAGATTGACTCCCTGCCTTCGGACATGAGACAATCAAATGGTCTCAGCATCCGGGAACTGGATTCCTCAGGGACACATTTGCAGACAGAGGGTAGATGGACAGATCTGATTGCCAGTCTAGCTCCTCAGTTAGGAGAGGAGACTCCTCTTTTCCTGCAAGCCAATCTCAAAAGCGCTAACAGTGGGGTATTGTTGTTATTTGCCCCCCAAATGAAATTGTGGGTTAGGTCCTCATCTTGGTCCTCTATGAATTCTTCTAAACTCTTGAGAGTAGTGGGACTTCCTTGCCCTGATGTTCCAAAGCTCTCAGGAGGAATCTCAGAAGCCTGTGTGGGAGGGAGTATCTCTGTCATTCAGTCCTACTGCAGAAATGCCTTCTGCTGCTGCTGCAGCCAGCCTTTTTGGATGGCAAGGCGACAGATGCTCACTACTTCTCTTATCCTTCCTTCCTGTCCTCCCAGTCATTTGCATTTTGTCTGCATCTGTGTATTTGAGGGTTGCATAGCGTCTTTACCCTGTCATGCTAACTGTGAGTCCTTCCGGATCCTCAGGCTGAAGAGCGCCCTTCCACAGCAGGGCATTCTACGGTGCTTTGTGCGCTTTGAGAAGCATACCACCACCTGCTAGCATTCTTACAGCTTCGTAGGTGTTTAAGGGAGCAAATGGCTCTCTGGTTTGGATAAAGACTTCCTTGGAAGCTCCATTTTGTCTTTAGCTTATTGATGTGCCCTGGCTCTTCGGTCCCAGTGCAGACTAGAGTCTGGTATGGCTGTAGTTTGCCATGCTCCACGCTGGAGGGAAAAGAGTTTTGAGTTAGATGTTTATAGAGCAAAGGAAAGCTGGATACTACAATAGAGAAGTCCAGAAAGTGCTACCCAGAAAGGCTGGGCCTCATTCTGTTCTCTCTTAGTTCATGACATTGGGGTGAACCATGGCAGAAGTGAAAGTGTAGCACTTACATTGACAAAACTGTTATATTCAAGGCTGGTTTTATGCTCAGATTCCATTGGTAAAAGCTTTTGTTGCATCAATAAAACTCCTGCAACAAGGCCAGTCATCTCCATGGAGGTAAGGTCAGCCAAACCTTATGTACTAGAATAGAAGAGGTGTATTATCATGCTAAGGCAAGATTTGAAAACCTTCAAGTCTGGTCTGGATGCTTACAATCCCATGTGATTTGGTAATTCCAAACCACTTACTTTCTTTCTGGCCTGAGCAGCCCAGGACCCATGTCACATAAGCAATGCCAGTAATTGAATTTGTACTGATTCTTTTCCTGATTGGAACGGTTCATGCTGTCGCTGTCCTCGCACTCACGAAATCCTTCCTTCGCTCAGGCCGCCTGTGTCCCTGTAATGCTCAGCAATGGATGGGAGTTGCCATTCTCCGAAGTGATTAATTGGAACCAAGCTGCCGTCATCGGCGATGAGAGATTGTTATTACAGGTAAGGAAGGGGCTGTGGCCTTCGGCAGAACGGCCGATTATTGCTGCCCCCATCCCAACTTTCAAAGAAGATGAATCCAAAAGGTCAGCTCCATAAAAAGAAATTTTATCAGGAGAAAATTGCCTGTGTCATGGTGAATATGAAGTCGTTTAATATGATATTGTTCACTTTCCAACACAAAAATCTGTCCAGGTCCACAGAATATATTCTGGGAAGTAGCTGTTCCTGGTAAGATGCCTGAGCTTTGCTGGGTGAGGAGAGGTGGAGGAGTCCCTTCAGCTTCAGCACCAACAGTGTTAGACTTGACATGCCCTCAGATCCTGTGCCTCCATTTCTGGTTAACTCCAGGACACACAAGGTCTATGGTTGGTTGCTATGTCCAGGGTTACCACTCCTGCAGTGCTCCACCCTGAGTTCCTACAGGAGGGCTGTCACTCGGGTGAATATTTAAAAGAAGGGTCCCGAATAAAAGTTGCAGTTGCTCCAGGAAAGGGAACTCAACCTGCACAGAGAAATGCAAGGGCAACAAGACTCTGTGAGGATTTCCAAGCCCCCTTCAGTCATGTTTGAGGTTCCCAGGAAGCTGCTGCACACTCTCATAGCTCAGTTAATGTTTGTCTTTCATGGCATTAGACACTTTATCTTCAAACCTCCACACGTTTTTGTAGAAATATTATCTCTAATGTTCTTGCTTTAAAAACAAAACTAATTGATAGCTATAAAATAGAGTTTCTGACTGTGCTTTTGATTTTTCTTCTGTGCTCCTGGCTGGTCTGCTAATGGACTGGTGAGAGAATACAGTCATCTTCTGAAAGTCATAGATAATGTACCCTCTAATGGAGAGCACTGTGGGAATATTCAAGCCTAGGTCACGACAGCTCTAGAACATTCCTTTCATGTGGTTCTCAGGTCTGTGATCTTGGCGCTTTTGGAACCTCAGCACAAACCTGGAGGAATGTGTACTCTGAAAATGGTGAACCTGTTCATTGGAGTTAGCCCATTCTGTTCTAAACAAAACATAGTTTCGTAGGTGCTCACTGAGAAAGGGGTTTGGGCATCTTATGAAAAGCTAATATTTGTAGTAACTATTCCTGGTATAATTCAATAGGGACATCCTCCAAGACATAGTGAGAAAAAGCCCTAACCATGTAGGGATAGTAGATGTCTGAGTCACTCACTCAAAGTGAGGTATGTGGTGCTTTCCCACACTGCCTTTGTTCCTTCCTTTTATGCTATTTTAATAATACATGCTCATTTTAAAGGAAATTTTGGATATGACAAACATCAGTCGTGTCCTCCATTCATGTATCAAGGCACCTTTGCTGTGAACAAGTTGGAGCTTGTCATGAGGGGTGGAAAACTTTGCACGACACTTAAGTGTGGTTGTCCAGTGTCTATCTCTTCATAAAAGTTGATGGATATTTCACCTTTTGAAGTCACTTTTTTACTTGACTCTAAAGATTGAATTTTTCACACCCCTGTGCCCACATTTTCTAGTATTTTTCCTCCTCATCTGCAATCTGTTTTTACACAGCTGCCTCCATATTGAACAGTGACTGTGCTCTTGTTAACAATGGTTTTAAAGAGTTGGCACAGCGCCCAAATGTGTGCTCTGGGAAATGGTTTTTGTTATGTTACAATTTTTCATTTCCTGTTTTAGAACAGCTCTGGTGTTTTTGTTTGCACATGTCCTTGTCATCCTGTCACTGAGAAGCATGCCGTGGCTTTCCTCTCTCTATTTTGGTAGATCCTATTAGTTTTGTTACCATACATAACCTTTTATTAGGACTTCATTGAGCTCTACAACTTCCAGACCATTCCATCCAAATTGGAATTAATTTATCACTTTCCCATACCTGTCTCTGAGGACAAGCAGATTAATAACGGATAGCCAAATGCCATTAGAACTTGGAACCTCATCCTGCCAATCAATTGGAATTGTCCTCCAGAGCACTTGACAGAGTGCTGGGAGACACTTCAGTCCTACACAAGAACTGGTGGAACACACAGCTCTACAGGTACTGAAAACATGAAGCAGCCATGGAAGCGAAGGGGCCGTACTAGTGGCTGAGTCTGTGACACGTCCTTCCTCCCTGCAGAAGCACCCTGGACTGGACTTTTCTGGAGGAAGTGTAGCAGTGATGGCTTTTGGCATTTTCCTAATGGATTAGTTCCCATGGCCATGACAAAAACAGCCACAGCAACCTGTATGACTTAGCAAATGCCATTAACATTTAAAAGGGCATGCTTATGAAAATTGAGGATAAGTTTTTTCTAATTTCTCCCTTGGCAATCTAGGTCATTTTCTCAGTGAGTAAATAAAAATAAATTTTCTTGACTTATCAAGGATCTATGTCATGAATGGTTTATCTCCTTAAGGATATTTTATTTCCACTTGACCTTGAGCCTGCCAGTGTTTCAACTTTACCTACTACCATCATATTTCTTGCAGTATTATGGTCCTTCAAAGCATAGATTTAGTACCTAGTTTGGTCTATTGACAGAGCAAGTCAGCTTTTCCTGCCGTCTTACTGTGGGGAACTTTCATTGCTTCTTCTAGGGGCAGTCCTGAGTCTTGACAGTGTACCATCATCTCCTCCTTCTCTAAGGCGAACTCAGATACACTGTAGTCCTATACTTGGGGTAACATTCCTATTAATGTGGTTGGCAGAGCATTCCTCATCTAGCCCAGGTTCCCGTATCTGCCTGACTCATCACACAGTCGGGAGGCAAGCATGCAGAAAGGTGAGGACAGCTGATGATCACAAAGAATCTCCTAAGAGTACAGATTACATAAATGGAATAGACCTTGAACTGTAGTTGAAATGATGGAAGCAAGCCTAGGAAACTTAACCGGAAATCCAAGGAATGCATCTTAGAACTACCAGGGGAAAAAATAAAGGAACTCTCAGGGCAGATTAACAGGCAGACAGTAAACAACTGGCCCAGCTTTGCATAGTATCAGTTGGTCCAGCTCGAAACAGCAACTCCCTGTGCCAACAAGAGTAATAGTAATAATAAACCATCATAATACATAATCTTTATTCTAACCACCACATTGTATTATAAATGAACAATTGGAGAGAGCAACTAACTCATCCAAGGAAGTATATCTAGTAAATGGTAGAACCAGAATGCCACATTGGTTCCATTAACACGTGTACTGTAATATCAAGCTATGCTGCTATTAAAAATAGCAATATCCTGATGATAGCGTCAGGTGGCCATGTTCAATTAGGCTCTTACTTCTTGAATAGCTAGCATAAGTACTAGTCTCTTAGCCACAACGTATATAGCAATATGAACAGCAAGAAAGGCCTTCCTTCAAAATTACCTGACTTGGTATTGAACACTCTGTGAAGAAACACACACAGTTTGGGAGATCTGGTGGGATTGGGGTAAGAGCTGGAGCCAAGAGGAGAGCACTCGGCTGTACAAAAGTTCACAAAAGGCAAGAGGAAGACTGCGTAGACATGGCTAAATCTGTTTGTATTGAATGGGGAGGCTCATGAACCAGCTCTAGAAATACACATTTATAGATACTTTACGGTTCCTGGAGTGACACTTCTTAGAAAACTTTTTCTTTTCTTTCCCCCAGGCCTATATCTACTTCTTAGAAAAATTTGACTGTCTGTTTCAGGGCCAAAGATTTTTTGGACTTGAGGAGGAGGCAGACCTTATGACTCTGGGAGTCCCCTTTGCAACTGACCAGCTACCGGGATCTTAGGACTAAGCCAGTGCATAATGTCCACACCTTTGAATGCCTTTCAGGCTGCTTCTCTAGACCTCCTGTTTGTTCTCCTGTTTCTTGGGTGGGGGGGAATTTCTACCTAGTGGTTGGTGATTTTTAATAAGCCTTTTGCTGGTAAATGGAGGCTCTGAAGAATTAAAGTGTAACCCACGAGGTTGTTTTGATGGAGCACATTTCTGTTGAACAGTTATAATTACTGTGTGTTCCCCTTCTGTTCCAGATTCCTTCTACAATCAGGTCTATTCATCAGGATAAAATCCTAGCACTTAGACAGCAGACACAGTTCTTGTGGGAGGCTTATTTTTCTTCAGTTGAGAAGATTGTATTAACTACACTAGAGGTAAGTGAGACTCGGGATCTGGAATAACAATCCTTTTTCCTCAACCTCTCTTTGGCTATTGGGTTGTGCGTTTGGTCAAATGGGACAAGACCAAGTTTTCTGCCCTTGAACGTGTTGGTGACTGCCCCTTCCCTCCCCCATCTGCTTAGCTATTCCCAGGCAAATGCCTTCATTCCTGACAGATTCTTGGAGCAGAAGGGACATGGAGAGAAGTTTGTGCTCTGGACAAAGGGATTGACTTTGTCTGACATAATTTTAGAGATATGTGGGTAATGACTGTCTTCCTGTCACTCAAGCTCAATGGCATCCTTTAAAGACATATTTCTGGTGTACATTTAGCAAAAAAAGATAATGACCAAGTAAGGGAAGTATCCTCTACCATTCTAAAAATATGAACAGTTTGGCTACCACCGTAGTACCTAGCATTTGAAGAGACAGCAAAATTGATTCTGGAGACACATACAACCTAACCAACCAGCATCCCATGTTGTAAGGTTACGGTAAGGAAAAAAACCATTGCTATCACTGTATCCAGCTGGTGTAGGAAGTGTTAACCTTTATAAAAATAGAAGCTCGGACAGGTGAATGGATAGTTATCTTCAAGTTGCTTTACTGTGCGTGCGTGTGTGGGTATGTGAGTGCGTGTGTGCGTGCGTGCGTGCGTGTGTGTGTGTGTGTGTGTGTGTGTGTGTGTGTGTGTGATTAGGAATTGAACATAGAGCCTGCTCATGTCTTTGAGAAAGCACTCTGCCACTAAGCCATATTCTCATTCCCTTAAGTCACCTTCTTTAAAGCAGGAGAAAAATAGAAAATCATGGAAATGATTAAAACCACAGGAAGCAGAGCAGATAGCAATGGCCCAAGGCTACACAGAGCAGTGCAGAGAGCTAGGAGAGGATAGAAAGTTGCACACTCATGAGTCCCAGGCCTGTGGGAGGGGGAGTGATCAGACAGTCTCCTGAGGTGACCCAGGTGCTGACAGAATGGGGCGGGGCAATTTATTACACACTTGGGGAGGATTTCCTTTGGCAGTTAATGATCACTCTGAAAGCTAATATAATCTTGAATAAACACAAGCCACCCAAGTAATGCGGTGGAAACTGAAGTCACCTGTTTGGTCCCCATGATAGTGTTCTTGCTGTGGTGGGGACTGGAGTCAGTGCTGGTCAAAGTGCAGTGGGGATTTTTCCATTCTGGCCTCACCTTGTCTCCAAATCTCAGCCCTTGGCAACCCGGCACCAGAATGTCCCAGGCACATGCCTGGTGTACATCCTGAAGCTACAGGAGGCCTGTTCTGATTATTTTGAATTCCTGTTTGCTTTTGTTTTTTGGTCAGACTAGAGGGTTTTTTTTTTTCTTTAAAAATAATAAAACATTTTCTAACCTCCTGCTCCTTAGAATGTTAGCTAAACTAACTGAATTTCATCTGTCTTTTGCTCAGGAAGCCCACAGATAAACCAAAGAAATTGCCACAATGTTGTTGACACTTCTATATTTTAGAAGTTTATAATATTTAAAATATTAACCCTTTGACTTTTGTCCTAAACATTCCCCCTTAGCTAGTTCATTCTGTTCTTTTTCTGTTCCACAGTCTCAGGGTCTGCCTTTAAAAGAGTTGTGGCTTCTCTGCTGACTGCATTTAGAAAGAGCATTTTGCCTTTTAACTTATTATGTATGTAAACATACACAGAAATATTTTTAGGGCATTCATGGTTATTGTTTTACATCAAACTGTTTTACTCTTTAGTCAGCTGGCTTTTAATCGTGATCTGTGTTGAAAGGGTAGCCTTTTTCTCTCTCTCTCTTTTTTTTTTTCTTTCTTGTGGGTTGTTTTCTCATGCTTTTAGTTACTCTTTCCAGAGTGTTCTTTTGTTCTACTCGGTACATCTTCGGGTATATGCTAGCCTTTTTATCCTCTCTTGCTGCTGTCCTTCTGTACACTCAGACTGTGTTGTTAATCTGTCTTCATCCTAATACCATCCTGTGGTAAGCCTCTGCTTAGCTCCCCATCTGGTGCAGGTCGTTGTGAATGCTGTCTGTAATTACTGCTGTCTGTGTAGATGACTAGGAATGTATGCAGTGCCTGAGTCAGTTTTCTGCATGCATTTGGGGCTCTATCCCTGCCTATTCTTTTAGGATAGTGTCCATGAAATGAGATTACTGAACCAAAGAATTCAGGCATTACTAAGGTCATAATATATTTTGCTAAATTACTATGTGTTTATAAACTTGAAAAAATATTGTTTTATTTTTATTTGATGAAAATGACAGAAGAAATTGGGGGACATAAAAAAAGTTGAGTAAATGGGGGACTCGATTGTCAAGATAGCAATTTTCCTCGATCTGCACATCAAAGTCTTAGAAGATGACAAAAATTACTCTGAGCTTTAGTGTGAAGAATAAATGCCTTAACACAGCCTAGCATTATTGAAAAGCAGTAGAGATCATTTATTTCCATGGTTTAATTAGCACACATTATAAAGCCATCATAATTAAAATAGCTTTGATCCAGATTTTCAAATGAGAGAAGATATGAATTATGTTATTTGATTCTGAATAAGTTAAATTTGTTAATATAATAGTGGGTAGATACTATAAAAGTGTTGGCTATAAAAGCCAGCTGGAGTGACATGGGCCTGTGACCCCAATGCTGGTGGGGGGGCAGTGACTGGCAGATCCCAGGGGCTTGATGTCCAACCAGTCCATCCAAAGCTGCAAGCTTTAGTGAGAGACCTTGTCTCAGAAACTAAGGTGGAGAGAGACCAAGGAAGATGACCTGACCTGTCAACCTCTGACCTACACACAGGCCTCCACACAGGTCATCACTCCCCACTCATGTAGGCACGCAAAGAAAAAAGATAATAAAATGGATGAGATATGATAGAGTTGGGTATAGCTCCTTAATTTTAAGTTAAAGAAGCTATTCTGAGCATGATCCTGGGCATAAAACACTATTAAATGTGAGTATAAAAATCATTAAAACTTCTGTATAGAAGGAGACACCATAAAGAAAATGCAAAACTCAGGGCAAAGGTTCACAGTTAATGTGAGGCTAAGAAAAAGTTAATCTTTTGACATGTAAACTCTGACAAATAAATGAGAAAAATACCAAAGTTCCCAACTAGCCTGGAATAGAGTGAGACCTTGTCAAAAACAAACAGAAATACTTGTATTTTCAGATTAGGATGATTTAGGCACATCTTTTTCCAAAACTTGATGAAGTACATCCTTTCACAAACATTCTGGATTACAGTGTGAAATGAAGAATTTTCGATATTATTAAAAGGAAAAATGTTGTGGGGGTATTTGTACACTGTGTGAAGATATATATTGCTGTGATTGGTTTAATAAAAAGCAAAAGGACAAATAGCTAAGCAAAGGTATAGGTTGGACTTCCGGGTGGAGAGAGGAAGTAGGCATTAATCATGGTGTGGGAGAGATGCTAGTGAGACGTGGAGGGAGTCCGACATATAGAATGAAAGAAAGGTAAAAAACCACATGGTAAAATGTAGATTAATAGAAATGGGTTGATTTAAATTATAAGAGCTAATTAGGAACAAGCCTAAGCTATAGGCTGAGCTTTCATAATAATAAGTCTCCATGTCATTATTTGGGAGCTGGCTGGTGGGTCAGAAGAAGACTCATTACAGAAAAACTCCTAATTTTTCAGTAATGTGTGTATATGTACATATGTACCTATACATCATATAAATACATATACATACATGAGGGCAGATGTGTATAGAGAATCTCCACACACAGTGGTTTGACTTAATGAGTTTTTAGGAGAAAGATTCTCACGTTAGAATGGAGAATGGCTACCCAGTTTGAGCCCTTCTAGAGAGGCAAAAACCTTTAGAAGAAAGCATAATTTTCACCCTGCATTTCTCCCTGTTGCAATTTTCCTAAACAGATAATGATCTAATGAAGAAAGCTGTAAGTGGCATAGACTATAGTGTTTATTTTAGTTACAGCATTGCGCATGCTCAGTCAGGTAGTTGGAAACAGGTTGACCAATTGTGATGCATCTGCATTGAGAAATATTATATGGACATCAAATGTAGTAAGGACATATATTTATTGGTATAAGAAAATGTTCATGCTGTTTTTTAAAAACAGATTAGGAAGTAATTCAAATAGTGTGGGCCATCCTTCATTTTGGTCAAAATAATACAAACTCATTCACATTTAGGGAAAAACATTCCTAAGAGGAAATATAAAATACTAGCTGTGTCGTCCTTTAAAGATTTATGTATTTTACTTTTTGTGTGTAGGAATGTTTTGCCTGTATGTGTATATGTGGAGCACATGCACTCAGTGCTTTCAGAGGCCAGTACAGGGTGTCGGATCCCCTGGAACTGCGTTCAGATGACTGTGAGCTGTTCCATGGGTTCTGGGAACTGAACCTGGGTCCTCTGTAAGCCCTCCTGACCACTGAGTCACCCTTTCATTCCCTAGCTGTCCCCTCTCTAAGCAGGAGATTATTTGAAACTGAATTTATTTTTCTCTTTTGTCTTTGTTAATTTGCTGCAAAGAATCTTTTATTTGAGTGACTAATACGTTCTCTTGATACTTCAGAATAACGCAGTCTATATAAGAAAAAAGACTGTGTTAAATGACACCTCTCATTGCCTATGACAGGAGAGCCAGTGTGGTAAAGGGTTGCTTCCAACCTAGACTCTCGCAAGCTGTCTTGGAGAGACCCTCCTTTGCTGTGTTCTTGTGCCTTCAGGATTATAATTAAAATATAACACACATGCAACATTGCTAATTTGCCAGGCGAAAGATCCTATCTCATTAATTATACTTCTTTTGTGGTGAGTTACTGTGTGGATCCAGTTTCTTGTCTATTAAGTTAACAGAGCTCCATTCTCCTTCAATCACAGCTTGGATGTGTTACATTCATCACAATAGAATCTTACATTGAGCTGATTTCATCTTTGAGCCTGGAAAGGCTTTCTTCCCCTTGGATCTAAGCCACAGAATTCTTTAGTAACACGGCTGTGTTTTATTTTTTGTTTTTTTTAAAACACTAAAACCATATACTTCATTCAAATTTATAGCAGCTGTCAAATCTCTCTATATCATTCCAAGATTGGATTGTAACAATCTGACCTCTCAGCCAAATTACAAGGGAGATAACACTTGTTTTCCTAGTTTAAGTCAGAGCTTGCATTACCCTAGGAGTCAGCACAAACAGAAAAGCAGAGGAGGTAAAGGAAATGCCATCTTTATACACAAAGCAGCAAAGCATATGTGCTCCTGAGGTGAACTCAAGGGTCACATGTCAGAGGTGCCCATTGGCCTAGCACTCAGACACAGTAAGTCTCTTGATTAGTCTTGGCCCTGCTAAGGATAAGAATCCAAGTAAACTCTAGGCAGCATAGACTCAAGGCTCATTTGCTTAGTTTGTCTACACTTAGACTCTATGGCACTTCTTCCTTACCGACCGTAGTTTAGACCCTGAGAATGGAATTACCAGTCTTTGGAGAATTCCCAGTAGTAACTTTGCTCATTGCTATGAACAAAGACCTGACAGGAACTTAGGGAGGCCAGGATGATTTGGGCTCACAGTTTCAGGTGGGCTCTCGTCCATTATGGCAAGGGCAACCTGGGAACAGGAGTATGAGAAAACTGGTCCTGTTTTTATCTGTAGTTAGGAAGTAGAAAGTTGACAGGAAGTGGGACTTGGTTATCAGACCTCAGGACCCACCCTTACTTTCTTTTTCTGGCAATGCTTTACTTCTCAAAGGTTCTCCATCCTTCTGAAACAGCATCCCCAGGTGGGCCCCGGGATTCAAACACACAAGCCTGTGGTGGACCTTTCACGTCCAAACCAAAATGCCAGCTCTGTGGTTGTAGGTAGTGCTTAGACACAATTGAAGATGGGACTCCTCACCCTCTCCCCAAAGCCAGGACTGAACAGGTCATGCATTTCACAGGTCCCCTCTGTCATACTTGGGATTCTGTTAGCTTTCAAGCCTGAGCGCTGCCTTTTGGGATCAAGCTCTTTGGAGTCGGGTGTTTCCATTCCATATACAAATTGAAAAATGGCAACAGGAGGAATGGTAACCTGCTGCAGAGATAGTGTTCCTTCGTGGATAGGACCACAGGAACGCAGAGTCACGACAAGCAAAGCAAGGACATGCATGGGATTGTAATGACATCTGACACAACAGTCTGTGGCTGCTTATGAAGTGCTGTTTCAGAGGGGGTTTCATGACGTTTCCCTCGCTTGTTCCTCGGTTATCTGACTGCATTGGAACTACAGCGCTGTCATGCTGATCATTTTACTATAAAAATCAGTGAACTAATGTCAATCAAAGATGGCTTCAGCCATGGAGCACATGGCATGTGATGGCACTTTGTGTGTTAGGCAGCAGCATTTTTCTTTTAACATTTAATTCTTTTTTTTTTAAATTTATTATTTATTTATTATTTATACAGTGTTCTGCCTACATGTGTCCTTGTAGGCCAGAAGAGGGCACCAGATTTCATTATGGGTGGTTGTGAGCCACCATGTGGTTGCTGGGATTTTAACTCAGGACCTCTGGAAGAGCAGTTAGTGCTCTTAACCACTGAGCCATCTCTCCAGCCCTAGGCAGCATCATTTGAACAAAGAACAAGCAAAGAGCAAATAGAATAGCTGGAGCCTTCAACCCACTACCCGTTATTTTGAAGGGGGAAAAAAAAAAAGGTGGCATAGAATAGCAAAGAGCCTGTCATTCTACCCTTTAAATTCACTTGGCAAGTATTATCTTTATTGAGAACCTTAGCAGAAAATGTGTGTGTGTGTGTGTGTGTGTGTGTGTGTGTGTGTGTGTGTGTGTGTGTGTGTGTATGTGTGTGTGTGCATGCGCGCGTACACACTGATAAATAGCAAAGGAATGTCCAGCCTCTAACTGTGATGTCTTCTTCCGCAGCAGTGCAGTGTAAACGCTAAGTGCCTTGCAGGAATCCTGAGAGCTGTCCAGTGAAGTGACAGGGAGAACTAAGACGTTAGGAGGTTGACAAATGACATTTCTATTTGGTGGAATGAGATCCAAACTCTCCCAAACTTTTGACAATGCAAGTTGATATATATATAAAAGCTTTTTAGAAGTACATTTGGCCACTCATTCAAACAGTGTTAATGGTGCTCATACCCAAAACAAAGTCCTAAAGAATCAATGCGGAAGCTGGAAGCATTTTATTTAGAGGTATTTTCATTTCTTTGCATAGAAAAATTACTCTATTTTTGGTCGGTTCAGAGAAATAAGCCATGAGTACCACAAGGAAATAGGTAAAAAAAAAAAAAAATCTACATTGCCTGTATCCTGTATCTAGAAAATGAATATAAACATGATTTTTTTTTTTTCAAGACAGGTTTCTCTCTATAGTCCTGGCTGTCCTGGAACTAGCTCTGTAGACCACACTGGCCTTGAACTCATAGAGGCCCAGCAGAATTTTCTTTTTAAAGGCAAAATCAAATCTTAAATATAAGAATTTAGTCAGATTACCTTACATTCTGAGAGGTTGCCATAAGTATTAGTGATGCTTTATCATTTCAATACCAAGGAGAGGATGACTCTTGGCACATTGCTTGGCCAAAGTCAAGTTCAACATTTGCTATGCATTCACATTCGTGCTGCTATCTTCTTGTCAAGATCCATTTGAATAGAGTGTGAAATGCTTATTAGTATTTCAAGAGTGTTCCGTAACTGATGGTCACATTTGGAAATTTTCAAAGAAAACAGTGCTGTGACTTTAAATCAAAAAGATAGTCTACTACTGTAGGAAGCATGCCTTTCCGAGATCCCAGCCAACGACGACCTACTTGTAACATCTCTGGGTTTTGTGTCACTTGTTTGTAGCTTGGATTTCTAATGCTGTCTATTGCCAATTTATTCTGTGTCTTGATAGCCAAGATCATTTATGTGACCACATGCTGAAAGGCACATAAATTTAGAAAGAAAACAAAAGGAGCTCTAAATGGAATACCATAAGAGGAAATTAATAGCCTGGATTTGGAAAGTATAAGAGTTGAAACAAATGGAATAAATGTTATACAGAGAATTGCTTGCCGTGTGAACACTCTTTCCAGCGATGCCACTGTGCTCACAATAGCTGTCTGGATGACGGCGTGGCAAACCATGCCTTTGTACCACAGACAGTAAATATCAGCATTATAGCTGGATTCCTAAAATCTCTGTCAACTCAGGAAGTTACCCAACCATATAAAATGAGCAATTTTGATCCGAGTGAAAGATAAAACGCAGATATTGTTGAGTTGAGATTACCTATTCTTCTCAATTTCTTCCCTGCTTCCTTTCAGTGGGAAGGTTTGAAAGATATGTAGAGCTCACTTGATTACCCTCCCATTCTCTGTCATGGAATGAGATGGGTGGAGGCATTAATAACTTAGCAAATCTTGGAATTCCATACTTCACATTTTCTTAAATGGAGACCTGCAAGATGGTGATTTAGGTCCTCAGACCCTAAAAGTTATGTAAGGATTGATTGATTGGTTGATTGATTGATTGATTGATTGATTGATTATTGGGAGTCAAACTCAGGGCCTTATAAATGTTAGCACATATCCCTCAACTAAGCCCCTAGGATTTTTTAAAAACATTTTGTGCTGGAAACATGATATTCTGTATCACGTTAATTATTTGCCACATCATATCTTAATGAGTCGATAGTTTTATTACAAGAGTTTGAAAGTCAGAGAGAAGGTCCTAAAGTAGACTAATCACATTCAACTGACAAATGATTCAGGTTGGGAGAAGGTTTGTCTCTAAATGTAGAATTTAATGATCTGCAAGGTCCCAAAGTCCAAGGGAAGCTAATGAACTAGCTTGACAATTATTAGTCTTCATATGCTGTGGTTCTTGTCCTGTTCTGTAGGATGTTTTGAGCAATTGTTAACTCACTACTTTCTGAAGTCGAAATACAGAAAAACTTGAGCTGGCCAATATTCAAAGTCCTGCAACTGACTTTGAAAAGGGATTGAATGTTGATGACAGGCAATTTAAAACTCTGTCCCAAATTAAAGGAATAGAGCTGAGTGGAGAATGTACCTGCCTTCTTTTGTCTTCGCATCCACCTCCACATGGTCCACACTGATGTTGCTGTGTACCCAGAGCAGATCTTGCTGGTAACATCTGGATCCATATATTGATGTCCCACCACCAGGAATATGTGAACTCTTCTATACATTGTGCTTTGAAACTAGCAAGGACCATTATTATAAAAATAAAATTTTAGGAAAGTAGAACTTTATGATTAAAATGGAACTTGAGAAACGTTGTCAGTCACAGTTCACCTCTGCCTCGTATGGTCCTCCAGAGCTCCCCACTGCTTTGTGCTGCACGCATTTTTTACCAGTAGAAAATTGGAGGAGGAACAGGTAGTGTGTGTTGTGTCTTCTTAACCGTTATCATCTCCAAACTTGGATTGAGCAAGACCTTTACCAGATATCACCCAAACTCACCCTCAGCACATGCTGGTTTGTTTTCTAGATTATTCAGGACAGAATATTCAAGCACATATCACGAAACAGTTTAATATGGAACAAACATCCTGGAGGATTGTTCGTGCTACCACAGTATTCCTCTTACCTGGGAGATTTCCCTTACTACTATGCTAATTTAGGTAAGTGGATCCTTGGAGGAGGCTGCCTGTGAGGACCCTCAAGGGGTCCGTCCTTCTTCCCAACAGCCTGGGGTGGAGACTGCTGGCTGAGCACTCTTGCAGCAGAGACTCACATTCAAGATTGGGGAATACAGCAGAGAATTGGAAAACAGAAAGAAAGGAAGCCTGCTTTCTCATCTGAGCAGCTAACCTGTACATTTGGTAGAGTTACTTTGTTGTGAAATATTCTTCAATTATAGATCATTTTGAACATGACAGATTAAATATGATGTGTATGTGTATATGTATGTGTATATAGGTATTCATGTGTGTGTATATATCCTTGATTTTTTTTCACAATAGCACTTCTCCTTTATATATTTAGAAAGACCTGAATTAAGAAAGAGAAAAAAGGGCTGGAGAGATGGCTCAGCTGTTAAGAGCACTGCCTGTTCTAACAGAGGTCCTGAGTTCAATTCCCAGCAACCACATGGTGGCTCATAACTAGCTGTAATGAGATCTGGTGCCCTCTTCTGGCATAAGGTGTACATGCAGACAGAATACTATATACATAATAAATAAATAAAATCTTTTAAAAAAGAGAGAGAAAAAAGAAATAACCAAAAACTTGTGAAAAAGACAAATTTATTCATTCTTTCGATGTTTTTTATGTTCCTCTCATACACCAAGCTAATGCCAGGCTAGATGGTTGACATAAAGATCACGTTAGATAGAGTCTGTACTCTCAAGCAGCTTTTAATTGAATCTCAGTGGGGCAAAGGATGTGAGCACAGGGCTACTGCTCTGCAGAGGCTGGTGTTCCTACCACAGACGTTTCCATAGTTGGTGCCCTTGTTGTCCTCACGTTAGTCACATCACGGACATGTTATCTCAGGGTTGCAGACGTTAGAAAACCTGGGACAGTAAGCATTTTTCAAACGGATATGAGGTCTCAAGATTGTCTACTCCATACTAATTTTCTCCAAAACAACCTTTAAATTGTACGTTTTTAGCTTGAAAGCTGTGAGGTGGAACTGAAGTTCAGGGCCTAAAGTATCCATCAGCAATGAATAACCCTTTAATGTAAACTGGACACACTGGGAGGACCATATGAAATTCAGTGGATGGTTCACAGTGGGTTAGTGAGAACTCATTGTCCAACACAGGCAGTAGTTAAGAAGCCTTCTGTTTCTTGTAGAGCTCTGTGATCTGTGCAACTTAGAGTTAGCCCCTTAGAAGTATTCACATGGTGCTTCTTAAACTATTACTGAAAAACCTGAAAGCAATGACTGGTTTCCATTGTTAAAAAGTGCTTCCTCAGTGGAGTGTATCGTTCTTACCTGAGTGTTCATCAGGAGAATGAGAAACTCACTTTCTTTCTAAAGTTCAATTAAAGTGCTAATTGGATGGCACAATTTTCCATGTACAACATTTGCATAATCGTTTCACATATACACTCAGATTCTAGCTTATGTCCCACCTATATCAAAGTCTAACTGGGGCATTCCCACAATGGCTGGTTTATACCTAAGCTACTAATGTACCAGATTAGTGGGTCTAAACTAATGAAGTTCTGAAAGGCTCTTAACCTGTTTGTAATTTCTGAGTCCTTGTAGAAGGGCTCCTGGGGGGATGCCCTCTTACTTCTCTTTGGTGGTAATGGTTGATTTGCATATTCATTGTCCTTTCCTACACTGAGCTCCCATTGGGCAGAAGTCAATCTCCCATACTTTTTCTCTCAGTGGTTTTACACAAAGCAGCCATTCCTGGAATATGGAGGCTCCCTTAGTGCGATTCTGATGATGCTGGAGACAGTGTTGAGGATGCTGATGGTGATAACAGCTAACACTGAGCACTTACCCTTTGCTAAGTCCTGTTCTAAGTGCTTAGTGTGCATCAACGGGCTACACTCTTAGAGTAGCTGCATTTCATAGCTGAAGGAACCCAGAGGGTCTAGCAGTGTTTCTAAATGCTACCGAGATGGTAGAACTGAGAGCCAAGCCTGGAGGGATGCTAGGTACTGTTCTCTGAACCTTTCCTACATGCCAATTATTAAATGAAATACTTCATCGCACAGAGCCTTTCAGTTAAGATTCAGATACATGCAGATGCCCTGGTGGAAAAAGTGTGTAAATACCTAAGTGACTAGAGCAAGGTGCATAGATAGGCAGGTAGATATTGGGTACCTTACAAAAAGGAAGATGACAAGCGTCACCAAGGGAAGAGAAGGCTGTCCAAAGAAGCTGGAGATGAGCACTGGACCGTAGTTTCTAGAGGTCTCTAGACTGGTTAGTTGTTACATAGCAGCTCTCACTTTGTTTCAGTTCTGTCAGTATGTAAGAAATGGAGGACAGATGTACTGGAGGGGAGGGACATTGGCTCCTGGATGAGTCACTGGAGTATGGAGTTTTTCCTCAGTCTTGCTTATCTGTGCTTCCTTAGGCTCTTCTCTTCATTCCCTTTCAGGTTTAAAGCCCCCCTCCAAATTCACTGCAATCATCCATGCTGTGACCCCCCTGATCTCTCAGTCCCAGCCAGTGTTAAAGCTTCTTGTGGCTGCAGCCAAGTCCCAGTACTGTGCCCAGGTGAGTATGCTTGTCCTCTGCAGCTTGATGGGCCAGAGCCTTGTTTCATACCTGCCCCACACTTGGCTTTCCAGGACCCTCCAGGCAATGTGCCCAGCTACTCTAGTGACTGGCCAGGCCTTGGTACTCTCTTTTCATCACCTTGGACTCTCAAAAAGTAAACCCTGGCACAAGTACAGATTCCAGAATGACCTTTGCCTTGATGTAAAGTGTACCCTCCCACGCACACACAAATTCTCTAAAGAATGTGTAAACCACATTACTTCTTTTTTTCTTGTTGTGTATGGATGTGTGTGCATGTTTGGGGTTGGGGGAGCTATATATGAATCAAATCATAGTGAAGTGTTCATTTTTTAACTCATTGCCTTTATGGAAATCATAAAATCACGTGCAGATGTGTGTTTAAACCAGAGATGAACCTAGGATGTTGTTCCTTAGGTATGGTCTACCTATTTTTTGAGACAGGGTCTCCCACTGGTCAGGAGCTCATTGATTAGGCCAGGCCACCTGGCCAGCAAGCTTCTAGAATCTGCCTGTGTCTGCTGCCCCACCCAGCACTAGGATTACAAGAACACACTACCATACTGGTTTTTCACATGGTTGGCGAGAATCGATCTTATGTACTTGTATGGCAAGCACTTTACTGACGAGCCACCTCCCTAGCCCTTATTTCATTTATAAACATCAAAATGATAAAAGTCATACCAAAAAAGCCCATGGGCAGGACCCAGAACACTGCATTCCAAGAACGGAAACAGACTTGCTGGTGTCAGGAGGTGTCAGCTCTTCGTTCACAGCAGCCAGGAGAGAGCAGAAGATGACATCCACGGTAACAGTGTTTCCCAAATCAGTATCGCTCCCGCAGTCTTAACACTGCTTAATTTTTTAAACTTGTGATTGGTATAGATAAGATGGCTTACAAAGGAGAAAAGAGTCACGTCATAGTGAAGTGTTCATTTTTGAACCCACTGCCTCCTTTATTGGAAATGATAAAGTCACATAAAACCAGCAACTGTTGAGAGGAATCCAAAGCAGGAGCTCATCGTGCCTCTCTCTCAGATTCTTTTATGTCGCCCACATTGCCTGGTGTAGAGCAAGTTCATAGCAGATGTTCAGATGTTTAGTATACGTTTTTATTTAACTTGATCACAGTTGCTATTGCACTCATCACCATAAGATATCAGAAGTTAGAAAACACTTGATTAAGTTCCGGCAAACTTCAAGCCACTCTGTGTGTGTGTGTGTGTGTGTGTGTGTGTGTGTGTGTGTGTGTGTGTGTGTGTGTGTGTGTGTCTATATGTTTGCATGTATATCAGGGTTCACACATGTGTGCAGGTACATATGCACACATGTACATATATATACGGAGGCCGGAGGATGACATTGGGTGTCTTCCTCAATTGTTCTTCTTTGTGTATGTTAAGGCAGAGTCTCTTCAACCCAGAGCTTACTGATTCAGCTAGTCTAACAAGCAAGCTTGCCACAAGGATCCTCGGCCTGCTAGGGACTAGGGTTGTAGGTGAATATTCATACCCACCTGGCATTTACATGGGTCCTGGGCATCAAACACTTGCACGGCAAGCTCTTTCTCCCCTGAGCCATCTCCTCAGCCCTTGAGATTACTGCTTTCTCCTTCAGCTTTCTTCTAGTCCCAGGGAATAACTTTTGTAGATTTCTTCTGTCCCGTCCCTGGTTGTTGAAGATTACAGTTCTGAAGTTTGTATGGGCGTGGACTCACTTTAAAATTTACTTTTACCAGCCCATTTCTACAAGTAGAGCCGTTTAGAAGGGAGCCTATCAAAGTACCCAAGCCGGGTGTCTAACGATCCCTGTCCCTTTCAGATCATCGTTCTGTGGAATTGTGACAAGCCCCTACCAGCCAAACACCGCTGGCCCGCCACTGCTGTGCCTGTCATCGTCATTGAAGGAGAAAGTAAGGTAGGCCTCGGAGGGGGCTAGTGTGAGGCCACCATGGAAGCTTACGTCTCCACAGATCACCGTGGGTGTTGGTTCCGGAAGTCTCCCCCTCCCCTTAGGAGCCTTCGGGTCTGGGTTATATGTCTGACACTGTACCTGTCTCCAAATGTCGTCAGCTCTGACAGCCGTGGGCTTTGGAGTCAGTAAAACCTGCGCTTCAATGCAAACTCTCCGGTAGCTTCTGAGCCTTAAGTTCTCGGAGGCTTTTTTTCTCACTCACAAAATGAGAATCACACTGCATACCACCTAGGGTTTCTGTGAGGACTAAATGAATTCAAGGCAGTGGAATGAATTCAGCAGTGTTTCCATAAATGACAAGGACACAATAAGGCTGCTGCTGCTGCTGCTGCTGCTGCTGCTGCTGCTGCATGTACAAAGTTTGTTTAACTTGCTAACACTAATGCGTTGGGTCTTTCAGAAAAGTGGTTCTTCCTTACCCTTATCTTAAAAAGGATGTTTCTCTTTATTTTGTCTTGATGCCTCCATCCAAAGACCTTCCCCAGCTCGGCCTCCCTGGCCCATTACTTTCCTTACCCAGTCCACCCTGCTTAGAACTCCATACCCTTCTGATCATCCTGTGGCCTTGCAGAGACTGTGTTTGTCAGTGCCTTAAATTGGCATCTGAAGCCATGTGTCCAGCCTTTCAACGTTCTCTCTCTCCCTACTCTCGTCTGTGGCCACTGGCTATAATGATCTGGATGGTTATTTGGCACAGGTCTTGATCAGCTGTCTCAGCTTTCCACCCCTCTCAACACCCCTGCTTATCTTCCAAACGCCTTCATTCTGCTGCCTTCTTGAAATCTCACCCACTGTTAACAGCCAGAGCTGGATTCCCACCAGGTGTCAAAGGGCGTGTTCTTCCCCCCCGTTGTGAAGAAACCAATCACTACTAAGTAAAATTCAGGTTGGAGCAGCAGTGCCCTCTAAGAGACTTCTTTTGCCAATCCCAAAGGGACTATCTTACACTAGGTAGCCCACCCCAAGTCAGAATAGCAAAATATCAATTTGTTGGGGCAAACCGTTTGAAGCCATCTTTGGACCCTCCAAAAGTGGCGATTCCAGTGTGGTTCAACATAATGCATTGAGAACTGCAATGACCCCATGGAGAACAGATCAAGAATGCATTACAGTACATACTCCTTTCTCATTTAGACTGCCCACTGTGTGTTTGCTGTCTAATAGATGTAAACACACAGGAGAATATGACCCTTCTACTTAGAGCATCCAAAGGTCTGGGGTCAATCAACATGGGTATTGGACCTGGTTGATTAGCATTTGATAAGAAAAGGTGACCGTGACAACTGTTACAAGCCTCTGGGTGTCAGTCTTTCTTTTATGAACACATGTCATCGTATGCATGACTTCACAAAAGGGGCTGACACAAAAAAGTCACCTGCCTGCAACAACTTATGTCCACTTCTCCCAGAGAATAGTGTGTTAGAGGGATGGCTGTGTTCCAGTCTGAACACCTGGAGCCCTGCCCTGTGTTCAGATGTACACCCGCAACTTTGAGCTTTGGAATTCTGTGGTGTTTTGCCTCCGGGAATGACCATACCTCCTCTATTTCTTTGGGCTGTGTGTGTCAGGCTGTGTGGCAGGGTCTCATGTGCCTAACTGGTCTCATGTACCTGACTGGGCCTTCCTGGTGTCTTCAGATCGCACCACATTTTCACCCTCTGGTTCACTAATTGTATACCTTTCCTCCAGTGAGAAGGAATTTCCAATAAAGCAGTGATGCCGGCGATAGTGCCTTTCTTGGGATAGTACCATGAAGAGATGCCAACACTTCCCCATCCATTCCTGTCACTGTGCTCCTGGCAATTGGTTCAGTTTTCACCTCTACTTTGGCCACTGATTTCCAGTGGGCCGTGTGGTTCACATGCCTTATCTTGATTCTCAGTGCCGTGGCTAGTACCTTCTGTGGAAGTGTTTGCATTTCAGCCTTGCTCCAGACTCTATGGCTTAAAACATAGGCCCACCTAGAGGATTCACTGAAATACTATGTATCAAGTACTTAACCGAGTGCCTATTTTATATACACAAATATTTCAACAAATGTCAGCTATCATTCTGAGACACATTGCCATGTTGTGATTTGTGTTACAGGCTCTAGAGTCTGACTTACTTTTTTATATGACCATAGAGGAGTGTCTCAATCTCTATGCCTTAATACAACCTCCAGTAAGTAGAAATAATCATAATACCAAGTTTATGAGAGCTAAAAGAATCAAATGATACCCTGTGTGCTAGGAATGGTAGGCACATACATCATAGAATCCCCCCAAATTTTGTGTAGTATGTATGTAATTATTTTTATAGAATTCTTTTCTCTGTACTAGATGATAAACTTCATGAATCTTAGCCATTTTATTGTCATGTTTATAAGTTCTAAAAGAATTGGCTCCCCACATGGTTATCCAGTTCTATGAACAAACAGGACAAACCCAGTTTATGCAGTATTGACCCTGTGGGCATATTCCTTCCCCTTGTTTTAGTTCAGTCAAGAGGGTAACTGAGTCAATGAGTTGAAAGCCCCTGATTTCTTACCTAGACACTAATGGGCTCATAAACTATATGTTCCAGAAAAGAAAGGAAAGAAGGAGGGAAGGAAGGAGGGAGGGAGGAAGGGGAGGAAGGAAGGGAGGGAGGAAAGGAAGGAAGGAAGGAAGGAAGGAAGGAAGGAAGGAAGGAAGGAAGGAAGGAAGGAAGGAAGGAAGGAAGGAGGGACAGACAAATGGAAGGAACGAAGACATCCCTGTAAAGCCAGTGATTGAGCCCATGGGCAGAGCAGCGCTGGGTCTCCCTTCTCCATCCCACACTCACCCTATCTGGCCAGGACTTCAGAACTGATGTGTGCTGCATTGGCTGCAAAGTTCCGTTGTGAATTTATAGGGCTTGTCTTTGCAGTTTTCCCCTGTAGGCTGAACACGGGAAAGGTCAGGGCACTGCTAAGCTGCCAGCTAATGGTTTCTGCGTTACTCAGTGGACATGTAAACAGCAGCAGGAGAATTGCTTCAGGCGGCGATTTCTGAGCTCTGTGTATATGGGGTTACTGATCGCTTTGTGTTTTATTTTATTTTGAAAGACTGAGAAAGATTTCTTTTTTTAAAAAAAAAAACAAGAAACCCTGACCCAGTTGACAGATGTGGGGAGTAGTCTCCGCAACCACAGACCCTGCAGCTCCATCACTTCAACTCTCAGATGGGCTAGCCTGGTGCTGCCCACTCTTAAGGCTGGGAGACCCCTCTGTCGCTCACCGGCATGCATCTTGGATTTGAGATGAGTAGACAAGCCCAGCTTCTCCATGTCAGCCAAGCATGGGATTCTCTGTGGCTGTTGGACCTCCAGGAGCCAGGACCTTTTGTCACCTTGGTCTCCAGTGAAGCTTTGCTACCCATCCATTGTGCCTTCAGAGTGCAATCAAGTGTGTCGTGCCTCTCCGGTCTCTATGTGTGAATTTGGAACCTAGCTTTCAAAGGAACCTGGGGATGTACATTTATCCCTACATGCACCTTTAGGTTCTTCCCAAACCTGAGGCTGTATTCCACCATCCGGGAACAAATCCGAGGTCCACCTTAGGCAAAGTTCACGACCTTTCTGTTTTCCCACTTGGTGGCGGGGGTGGGGAGTAGGGGGTCGGGGGGTTGTTACAAAGATGCAACAAGACATGAAGGGAGGGCCCGGAACATTCCCCGACGTGTACTAATAAAGTATTATTAGTCACCGTGTGGTCCGATTCTCACAAGAGGAAGCTCTGCCTATGACAGATGAGCTTCCGTACTTCATTTGTCCTCCCTGCCTTCTCACCCCCATGTCCACAGAGGTAGAATCACGGAAAATGTATTCGTGTTCCACCCTTACACCTTCTGTAACTGTGCACCACACATGCTCATTTTTAAAGACTTAAATCAATTTATTTCTCATTCCTAATGCCTTCCACTGGCATAGGAACAATATATGTGTACATGCATTCTCTCTGACTTGCGCTAAAATAGATATAAAGTCAATACTGTCAATGTTTGCACATCTACAGGGGTCTGACCTCCCAGGGATGTGTACCAGGATGGAATCGTGTCTTGTCCTCTGCTCTTTGCTGCTCATGGAATACTGGTTATCTTTGGGGGCTCCCTTGTATTTGCTGAACCCCTGTCTATACTGCCCCATTTCTGTCTCTGCCTGGCAGATTCCTTCCCAGTCAATCCTGCTTAAATCATTTCTCCCGTGAAGCCTTCACCTGCTCTTCAAGGCAGCTGTCTGTGCTGCCCTCCTGTCTGGCGCTTTTCATTCTGAGTGAAAGCCAGTCATCTAGCCTTCCATTTCTACAGACTGTGGGTTCCTAAGGGCAGGCCATGAATCACACTTGTGTTGGTCCCTGCTGTGATTGGTGTGGTACCTGTAGGTGTTCAATAATTGCTGCCCAGATTAATCTTTGCTGGTGGGAGATGGAAGACTTGCACTGTGGCAGATGGCATGGTCGTGGAGCAGTCTTCAGGATGACATGGCTGGCGGAATATTCTTGACAGTAAGACTCTAACGGGTACTTCTCCTTGTTCCTAATCTCTCGCCCCACCTCCCTTACTCCCCAGGTTATGAGCAGCCGGTTTCTGCCCTATGACAACATCATCACAGATGCTGTGCTCAGCCTTGATGAGGACACTGTGCTTTCAACGACTGAGGTAAGAGTGATGTCTCAGGGGGCGGGACGGGTCTCTCCAGGTAGGGACCTCTTCAGTCTCAAGGTACCAGCGCTGCTTTTGCCCATGCCTTGGTGGAAATTGAAAACATTTTCCAAAACTTCCTGTAGAATTGGTTTTAATTAACCCGATTCCTGTTAGCACCTTGCCACCGCCTGGCACCCTGATGTGGGCACCTTCTCCTTTGTTTCCTCTTCTAATTAGGCCCTATTTGCATGGCTGTTCTTTTCCCCTCCTGTCTTCCATCTCCTTTTGTTGTTAAGCAGCGTATCTGTGGGCAGGTGTAGAACACAGGGATGGGAGACTTACTTAGCATTGTCGCGAAACTGTGGTCCACAGCCAACTATCTGTCCCACCCTTCCCCAGTTACAGTGATTTCTGTGCCCAGTATGCAGTCTCTGTTAAGGCACACTTCTGAGGTCTAAAGGTCATTCTTCCATCTTATCTAGCGTGCTCCCTGGCCCCACCATACACGTGTGCGTGTGTGCGCACACACACACACACACACACACACACACACACACACAGAGAGAGAGAGGGGGGGGGAGGGAGGGAGGGAGGGAGGGAGGGAAGGAGGGAAGGAGAGAGAAGTAAGCAGTTTCATTTGGAGGCTGAGATGGAGACCTCATCTATTTTGAATGTTCATATATTTGTGCCAAAAAAAATAAGATTGCACAAAGAAGGTATATGGGAAAGAGAAAGAAGAGAGAAGAATGTAGAAAACTTCATGTAGAATGTAGAATACTGGCTCAGTGAGTGGATGCTGGGGATGAGCATTGTGTCAGTTACAGGGTGAACACACAGCCCCTGTGTCTCATGTCGTTTGGCAAGAGGATGACTAGAATGAGTATTGATCTCTGAAGCTTTAAGCCATAGATGAGATAAAAGCCAGCTATATGAAAATGTAGAATATCAGGATCACATTATTAATGGTAGCTACTTAAAGTCACAGAGACTTAGCTGATTAACCTTTCCTTTCATTTTTTTTTTAAACTTATAATCATTTTCCCTTATTTTAGGAATTGGCACTTACCAGCATGCAGTCTCTTGGACCCCAGTCTGGTTCTAGTAGGCACACTTACTATTGATAATAGGTTGGCTACCTCAGTGTCTTCCTTGAGATTCAAGCTGTTTCCAGTTGTTCCAGATGTAGTTGAACAGATATTGCTTTCAAAGCCACCTAACTAACCCCAGGACGAAATGTTCTGGACCTCACTTGTTCCCGACATTTCTAAGTAGTCTGAGTTCTATAAATACTGGCTCAGTGAGTGGATGCTGGGGATGAGCATTGTGTCAGTTACAGGGTGAACACACAGCCCCTGTGTCTCATGTCGTTTGGCAAGAGGATGAGCTGTTAGACTAAAGATATGATGAACAGTCAAAGGGTGGCGATGAAGTTAAGAGCTTTGAGACACCCCAGCATACATTTTTTCTGCAGCTTGCTGCAAAAGGAAGCTGGCATCCCAAGAGCACATTGATTCAACAAGTATTTGCTGAGAGATTTCTTTGTTCTGGTCTCTATGCCAGGTACTTGGGTTATACTATCCCAGCTTGTATTTATCAAAGTCCTGGCAGCAAACAGAATTCAAGTCAAATGACTCAGATGAAAGTACTTTCAATTACTTCAGGAGGTGTGGGTGGGATGGACCTCACAAAGGACAGTAAGGCATCTGGTAAGAGCCAAAAGCTTTCCTACTTCATTCCTGGAAGAACAAGGGAAGGGTAGGAATGCCCAGCCTCTGAGAGGTGGAGCCATGCAGTGAAGGCCCTCGTCCCAGAGCTGTGTCCGTGGGGCTCTGGCTATTGTCACATCCTGTGGCTATTGTCACATCTTCCCAAGAGACCTTGCCTTATCTTTTTGACTCTTTTGTTTTGTTTGTTTGTTTTTGTAATTTTGCTGGTGACTACCATTGGTTTGACCTAGCCATACTCTAGCCAGCAAAGAAGAGCAGGTTGTACCATTCCTGGGTGTGCCAGTTGGCAATGTTGTTGCTATAACGACCTACTGGGGCCATACAACTTGAAGGAAGATTTATTTGGCTCAGAGTTTCAGAGCTTCCACTCCATCATGGCAGGGACGATGTGGTCGATCAGAGACCATGTGGCAGCCATGGAGCTGGGAGGGCCAGAGGCTGTCTGAACTAGCTGGCTTCCCTTCCTCCCTTTGCTTCCACACCCGAATCCCACTTTATCAGACCTCACATCCCACATTCACAGCAAGCCTTCAACTTCCTAGTTAATCCTTTCTGAGAACAGTCTCATAGACACATCTAGCAATGTGCTCGACCAATTCCCTGGGCACCTTTGAGTCCAATCAAGTTGATAATCAAGGTTAGCCATCACACTAGTATTCTATCATCCCAGGGCAAGAAGAACTAGCATTGCCTTTCAGAGGGCAAACTGAGGACAAGTAGCACATCCCCATGGTGGAATGAGTAGTTGAAACATCCACAGCATATACCTAGGACATCTTCCTATGACCTGGAGTATGATTCATGTTGTACCTTCCCCTGGGCACAAGGCAATTGGTCTCACTCCAGGCTTGGTTTTTCCATGACCCAGGCTGAAATAACTTTACACCACTGCAATGCATCATTGTGCTGGGGAATTTCCTTTCAAAGGATAGCAGCTCCAACCACTCAGTGCATGCTGGGAGGAACATGTGTTGTATGTGAAGTAATTAGAAGTCAACGTGGGCTGAAAATATATGTAAATTTAAGAGGTTGGCAGTCTGGTTTGCTTTTGCCTGCTGATCAGTGAAGTGGTTGTATTGCCTAAAATGATTGTGGGCAGAGTTTCCCTATTCTCTTTTTTTAGGTGAACAGATGTTGATTCCATTGGATTCACTTAGACACACACACACACACACACACACACACACACACACACACACACACACTCACCCTGCTCAAGTGTTCTTAGTTTGTATAAATGTCTCACTGAAGCATTAAGGGTAGATTTCTAAACTGCATCCTTTAAAGGGCATTAGATAGAGTTGGTTTATGGTTATTTACATTTATATGAGTTACTGCAAAACCTCAAAAGAAAACAGATGTTGATTTTTTAAGAAAAGGGGTCTTGTGTTGACCTTTGCCTTCTTTGATGTGTTAATGATCTGAATGAAAGCAACGTTATCAGAAGAATCACAGTTTTATCTGAATTTACTTTCGAGTTCCTTTGAAATGACTTGAAACAGCCCTGAGATAGTAAGAAATTCATGTAACAAAAACACCCCATTGGGTTCTATGCCAATTGCCAACCCATGTGTCTCTTTATCAAAGAATAATGGGAAGCCCCAAAGAGTGCTGACAGTCAGGCAGATTCTTTGACAAGAGGCTGCACAATGCTCTATCCCATCAGTTGGCACCATTAGTTCTGAGCACTGAGGATGGTGTAGGTTATCATGACCTGATCTCAGGTTTCTGACAAGTGCTTCCTATTCCCTGATGTCTTCATTTTCACAATAAGATTTTGTTATGCATGTCCATGCTAAGTCTCTGTCTATCTGTCTGTCTACCTATCTGCCTGTCTATCTATCTATCATCTACCTATCTGTCTGTCTGTCTATCTATCTATCTATCTATCTATCTATCTATCTATCTATCTATCTATCTATCATCTATTTGGTTTTTCCAGACAGGGTTTCTCTGTATAGTGCTGGCTGTCCTGAAACTATTCTGTGTTGACCAGCCTGGCCTCACAATCAATGAGATCCACCTGCCTCTGCCTCCCAAGTGCTGGGATCAAAGGTGTGTGCCACCACCACCCAGCCAGTAAGGATTTATTTTTATGAGGAATTAGTTTATGTGGTCATAGGGGCTGCAAAGTCTACACTTTCTGTGTGCAAGCTGGGAACTCAGAAAAGCTAGTATTGTGGCCCCAGTAAGAAAATGATGGCCTGAGAACCAGAATAGCCAATTGTTAAGTCACAGCCGAAAGACAATAGAAGTCCCTTGTGCAGAGGCAAGGGGACAAAAGACTACAAGGGTAGGTAAGATGGCTAAGTAGGTCAGAGCTCTTGCCATGCAAGCCTAATGACCTGTGCGGAATACCTAGAACCCACCTTAAAAAGCCATATGTGGCGGTACACATCTGTAATACCAGCACTCCTACAGCAAGATGAGAGGCAGACCCAGGAGAGCCAACACGAAGTTTGCAGACTAGCTAGCCTGGAGTTCACAGTGTGGCAGAAACAAGAGAGACCCAGCCTCAGAGAGGTAGCGGGAAAACCAGCTCCTGAAAATTGTTCTCTGACCTCCACACATGTGCTGTGACATATACACCCCACCACCACACACACATTAAAGTTTAAAAATGGTTAAGAAAAGGCACGGGCACATTCTTCCTCCATAGTTGCTGTCTGTTCAGGAGCTCAGTGGATTGAACAGTGGCCACCCACAGAAGAGGGCACTCAAATGGTGGTCACATATTGAAATGTCCTCACTGGCCCACACAGACCTGATCTTCCTATGCCTTCCTAACTTTTTTTTGGGGGGGTCACATTGGCACACATGTTATCCATTGTTCTTTATGTTAGAAAACCTCTGACTACATAGGAATCATGAAGTCTTTGGCATAGATCAGAATGTCAGGCATCAAACTGAAGTTTCATGTAAACTTGAATGTAGGGCTGTTTACAATGAGAGTGACTTCTCATTAAGGCTGACTGATGAATTTGGAGATAAAAATTTTATTTTAAAAACTTCCTGAGGCAAGTAAAATGGCTCAGTGGGTAAGGTGCCTCACAACCTCAGTTAAACCTCACATGACGGAAGGAGAGAACTGACTGTGAGGGTTTCTTCTGACCTCCACATGTGCACACTGTGTCCCATGTCCCCTCACCGCACCCAATCAAATAAAACACACTGGGGCACGTGTGTATCTCCCCACTCGACTCAAATAAATAAGTGTAATAAATAAAATAAATTAATGTTCTGGGCCAGTGTTTCCAAAAAGATGTGTTATGTAGAATATTCATTTTAACAATTACCTTTTTGCTTTAATGTTTCCTTGAAAATAACATAGTCAATAATCAATCCTAGGATTTCCCTGACATTTTTACCTAAGATGAGACTAATTTAAAAAGAAGAAAATAGAGTAATCAGTTTAAGAGAAATGTTACCTACCTAGTTGAATGGGTGGTATGAGAATCGGGGAAAAAAAGCTTGGGAAATAGTGATCTAGGCTTATTCACTCCATTTTAAAACTTATTTTACTAAAGTAAATGCTAATTCATATATTATAAAGTGAACCAGTTTAAACTTTGAAATTTAGTGGTTTAATTCATTTACAGAATGTACAGTTATTGTCACTTCTGACTTTTTCCAGTATTTTTATTATATAATATTATATATTACTATATAATATTATATATATATTTATTATATAATTATGTATAATTAAGGAGTCTTTGTACGTGTTTTAAGTTGTGCTTCCCCATCTTGGACAAGCACTGTCTTCTGTGTCGGTGATTTGCCACATCCAGGACATCTCATATTTGGGGAAGTGTATCCTGCATGGCCCTTCTAGCCTGATTTCCCTTACATAGTGCAATGTAATTGAATTCCAGCCACATTGTTTTACTGTTGCCAGGACCTCACTCTGGCTGCTTCTCTGCTCCCGGTCCTTCATCTCCAAGGAAAGAATTAGATGAGACACAGAGTATAGTGTAAAGAGAAGCCGAGATTATTATAGAATAGCATAAGACGTTCTCAAGGCTGGGAGTGGAAAAGGCCCAGGGGCACCATTGTAGAGGAAAACATCCCCACAGTGAGAGTGGACAGTAGCAAGAGGGACCCTTGTACTGACCTACATGTGTTCATAGGCCATATCCTACTTAGGGTTTCTAAAAGAGGCAACTGCCTAGAGGATGTTTTCCTGTCCAGATGATTGACAGATCCATTTGGATTTGTTCTTAAAGAAGGGGTAGTGGTACGTCCATGTTCTTTTCCAGAAAGCCTCTGAATAGACAGACACCTGCTGATCCCTGGAGCACAGAATGTCCAGTCTTTCCCCAGGGCCAGAGATAGGACTCAGATCCCATTCTTTTGACCAGTAATCTAAGTCCCTAAGCTTCAAATCTTGTTTTTTCAAACCGTTGCATGTGAAGGAGGGGCCCATCCCAGTAGCCTTGAAATCTGCTTATATCTAACCAGGGACCTTAAGAACCTAACCTGGGTAGTCTTTTCAGTAACTGGGTGACCCTTATATTATATAGTCACCTTCATTAGTTCATAAAAATTCCACTGTTTTCGTCTTTTGGCTGTTCTGAGTAGTTAGTGGGTCTTTTTGACCATCTTGGACGACAGGACTAGGACTTACCATTAGCATTCAGTCCCTCAGCCATTACCACAGTAAAGGACTTGAAATAGTTGTAGATTTCCATTTGCACTGCTTGCCAAGAAGAGATTAGTGTAGACAAATTATCTGGTCCTTCATATGTCTTAGTTTTCCCTTTTATGAAGAATATATAAGTATCTACCTCACAGGGTTCTTGTAAGGACAATCTGAGTTACAGCGCATAAGGCCTTATAAACCTTCCTATCAGAAGCGTTATATGATCACAAATGTATCATTTACTTTTACTTTTCTGTTGTTTTATTTTTATTCCCGATTCACCAGAGGATCTTAAGGGAGCCTGCAGATTTAAAAAGAGATAACTTGGTAGCTCTATGTGTTTAGCTTAGACTGGGTTCTGAAGTCCCAGCTTTGGTTTCCTATAAACAGTAGGGAGGCACTCTCCTGCCTCTTCTTTAAAAGGATCTTGTGGGGTTTTTGTTTTAACTTGGCCTTGTCCCCACTTTTTCTCAGTGACTTCACGGTGGCTGTCCTTCTGGTGTCACTAGCATCCTGTATCTTCAGGCCTGACAAACCTGGTGTGTGTTCTTTGTGATGTCTTCTCCGTGTCCCTGTTGAAAGTTGTACTCTTCACAGAAACTTGTCCCTGAAGAGGATGCTTTCATTTTAGGCTCTTGGGCTTTGATAGGTGCTGGTTACGGTGCGTGCCGTGCCGTGTTGCAGTCCCTGGATGCACACAGGGAATCTGTTCTTATTTACAAAGCAGATGCTGCCGTGCTTCCTGTGAATCAGTGGCCACGTGTGCCTTTGGCATTGGGGAGAGGGAAGCAATGCTTTTTGTTTTTTTAACTTGAACAAACTGGGATTTCTAAAGGACAAGTCTCTCTCTCTCTCTCTCTCTCTCTCTCTCTCTCTCTCTCTCTCTCTCTCTCTCTCTCTTTTCTGTACTAATCTTAAGTTTCTTCCATAGGAAACATTAAAAATGTGCATAATTACAGGACAAAATGTCAAGCAGTCAGTTTAATTTGCTGATGAATATGGAGAATTAATGTTTTGAAACAGTCGTGGGATTCCGCATTGTGAGTTAGCAGGGGGAGGTAATGTTTTGTTGACATTTGTTCACAGTGTTGATTGCTTGTTTGGCTTGTACTTGGCCTTGCAGGTGGATTTTGCCTTCACCGTATGGCAGAGCTTCCCCGAGAGGATTGTGGGGTACCCAGCACGCAGCCATTTCTGGGATAACTCTAAGGAGCGGTGGGGATACACATCCAAATGGACAAACGACTACTCCATGGTGTTGACAGGAGCTGCTATCTACCACAAGTGAGGAGCTGGACATTCTCATTGAAATGCGTTATATTCATTTCTGACAGAACTTAGGGCCAAATCTAGTTAATGACATTAATGAAAATTAGTCAGTATCCTTGCCTGATTTTTGTTGAAGTAGCAAATGTGTGCTATGAATCTTCTTGGCTTATTGCTTTTCTAGATGTTAAGGCAGAGTAGCATTTTCAGTTAAGCCAAGGGATAAAGGTACACTCAGAGCAAGGCTGGGTATCTGAATAATAAGGAGTGGATACCTAAGCATCCACGTCACTGTTCTAGGTGATTTTTGGTTCACCATTGAGTGAAACAGAAAAGTTCCCTGACAGTGCAGGACTCATATTCTGAGGAGCAGAGAAACGTAGGTGCTATGGGGGAAATCAGGGACAGCAGCATGACACTGATGAAGAGTCAAGTAGCAGGAATGACAGAGATGGGGCAGGTTGGAGAGTGGTCAGGATGGTCTACATTGTAGAGATGAGAAGCAGAGACAAGCAGAATCAAGAGAAGGTTAGCCAAGGCTGTTGTGGCATTGGGAATAGCAGGAATAAACACCCGGAGGAGACGATGGAGAACCATGGAAAAGAGGCATGTGATTGGTGGCCATGGGGCAGTCGGGGAGCAGGTCTGAGAGGTCTGAGAGCTCAGAAGACGGAAGTTAATGTTCCCTCTAGTGAGTAGGTCAGTGCATGGCCTTGAACAGAGCAGACTTCAGGCTGTGTCCTCAGGGTCCGCTCTGGGTGGTGTAATCAGAACAGGCAGTAAGTATGTGAAAGGAGGAGGAGGAACTTGGGGGAAGTAGTCAACCAAATGCAGATGAAGGGCGGTTTGCCGGGACCCGGGAGTGAACAGTGCTATAAACAAGGACCACACTGTAGGGATATTTTGACGCTGATTCAGCATCGTGACCTAATCAGAATTTAATGCCTACCCAATTTTCTAACTTGAAGTCCAGAAGGCTAGAGTGTCATCAACAGAGGTAATAGTACAGATGAAATAACTGTTTTTAAATGGAAATCTTGCCCTGGGCATGTTAAGACACCTAAAAGGCTATGAAAAAAAAGTCATAGGCAGAGATATAAAATGGGCAGTCTTTAAATTTGGTCCTAAAAACCAGTAGACAAGTTAAATTGCCAGATGAGTGAATGTAGATAGTTAGCATTTCCAAATTCCTACTGGATCATTAATGAAAATATACCAGTCTTACCTTAGATTTCAAAATAGAGACTAGAGAGTCTTCTCATCTTGGGGATAAGTCTGGAAATGCCCAAATATACGCATTTGGCTGAGTAAATCTTGATCCCAGGGCTTCCCCTTCTCCTGCTGCCTCCACAGGAATGAATCTGATTCACTCACGTGCTTTGTCTTATTTGTAAGTAAATTCCTTGGCCACCAGCTTCAGTCACTTTGCTCAGGGCAGTGATAAAATACCCAGAAGAAAGAAGCAACACCCACGTGCTTGGCTCAGCTTCTCAGATTGTGAGAACGCAGTCCATCACGACGGGGAAGTCATGGCAGCCGGCGTGGGAAGCATCTCTAGTTAGGAGGCGGAGAGAGATGGAAGCTGGTGCTCAACCCGCTTTCTTCCTTCTATTCAGTCTTGGTCCCCAGCCCGTGGATGGTGCTGTCCACATTCAGGGCGCATCTTCCCTGCAGTGGTCAACTTCTCAGGAAATATTCTTGTAGGCACGCCCTCAGAGGTGTGTTTCCATGGTGTTTCTACATTGCATCAAACTGGCACTGAAGATCGTCATCTCCATTATCACAACAACCTCTTAGCTTTCAGTTTCTCTTTCCAACTGACCAAGCCTAATACTAAGTTGTGATGGGCAAGCAATCTCTGTGTCCCAGTGGATCTCTGTGCTTTGGTTCCTCATCTGTAAAATAAGGATAATAATGCAATAACATCTGCCTCATAGATTTCTTATGTGGGTTAGATGAGGCATTTCTTGTTAAAGGCCTGCAAATATTATTGGGCCTCTAGTGGGTACCATGGAAGGGATAACTGTCATCATTAATGCATTCAGTAGCATCTTTAGGGATTCAGAGAATGACTGTGTTTAAAGTCTGCCTGTCATCATGTGATGCAGCCCCACTGAGAGACGTTCCTTTATCACTTGCAGATATTATCACTACCTGTACTCCCATTACCTGCCAGCCAGCCTAAAGAACATGGTAGACCAGTTGGCCAATTGTGAGGACATTCTCATGAATTTCCTGGTGTCCGCTGTGACAAAATTGCCTCCAATCAAAGTGACCCAGAAGAAGCAGTATAAGGAGACAATGATGGGACAGGTAAGAATAAAGAACTTGCTTCCCCAGGCTGCTCGAATAAGTATTTCTCCACTTTATCTAGGAGTGTCCTAAAGGAACACAAAAATAAGCCCTGTCTGAAGGCCCCAAAGGAAGGAATGATTGGCACTTGGATAATTAAGACTATAAAGCTCTTAGATAACCCATAATGTGACATGACAGTGACATGTTCTTAGAGTTTGTCTTATTCCCTTTGGGCGAGTATCACAACAACATGGATTTGAGGCTTAAGTTACAAACATTTCTTTCTCCTACTTTAAAAACCCTGGAGTTCCAAATCAAGGTGTCAGCAGTCATAATACCCATTGAGGAACTGTAGCTAGAGTTTTCCTGCCTGGCCCACAGTCAGGACAAATCTCTAGCTACAAATGGCGCCCAACGTGTTGGCAAGAGTTTCCACCTAAAACCTGAGTAAAAAGATTCTAAAACAGAGCTAAAAACAGCTCCTAGTTGCTGTGGGATGGTCTGTATGTCAAATGTGTTGCTGATTGGTCAATAAATAAATCACTGATTGGTCAGTGGCCAGGCAGGAAGTAGAGGTGGGACAAGGAGGAGAAAAAACTGGAAAGTGGAAAGCTGGGTGGGAGAGACACTGCCAGCCGCCATGATGACAAGCCGCATGTGTAGATGCCGGTAAGCCACGAGCCATGTGGCAAGGTATAGATTAATGGAAATGGATTAATTTAAGCTGTAAGAACAGTTAGCAAGAAGCCTGCCACGGCCATACAGTTTGTAACCAATATAAGTCTCTGTGTTTACTTGATCGGGTTTGAGCGGCTTGGGACTGGCGGGTGAGAGAGATTTGTCCTGACTGTGGGCCAGGCAGGAAAACTCTAGCTACAAGGAACTGCTTCCAAATTTATAGATGGTCATCTGCTTGCCATGTCCCCGTGTGGTAGAGAGCTCTCTGGTGTCACCCTGTTCTTGAGGATTCTGCCTCTATGAAACCAGACTTCACCAGATGACCCACTTACTGATCATCATACTCAGGATCACACAGCAGTGTTTTCTGAGAAGACGTGGCATTCGGTCCACAGCTGAGTTAAAGGTCTACAAAGGATTTATGTCAGTCTACTGTAGATTCTGCAGGAGCAAGCAACCCGCTTAATGGTTTTCTGGCAGTTGTTCTTCAGTTGAGCAAATATCAGAGTGAAATACTAGAAGTCACATTGTCAATTTTCAGTTCTAGAACCAGCGTATATAAGCAAGCCATGGGCAAGTCACCTTCTGAAGGTCTCTTGGCTCATCTTTAAAAGGAAATGGTGAAATCTTTTTCATGAAATTGATGCAAGTGTTAACGTAAAGCCAAATGTCTTTTTGGGTCATAAACTTTCATGATAAAGATACCTTCACGGAAAAAATCACCCAACTCCCCCATTTATAGGCAGGAAAACTGGGTCTCAAAATTTTAACGTATTGCCACAAGTACCCCAGTAAGTTGGATACAGAAGTGAACATGGAATCCTAGGCTCCCTTGCCATTCTCCGGCACCCCCATTGCAAGTGTCAGGCCCATCTAAAAGTTGAAGTTCCCTTTTATTCTTTTCTGGCAGAGCCAATACTACATGTAAGAAATGAGGGCTGGGCATGTAGCTCAAGTGGGAGAGTGCCTGTTTAGTTCCATGCTGAGTTCCATGCCCAGCACTGTATAAACTGGACATGGTCATACATGCTTAGAATCCCAGCACTTGGGGACAAGATCAGAAGTCATTCCTAACTACATAGTGAGTGTGAGCTACAAAGGGAGACCCTGCCTCAAAATAAACAAGCAAGCAAACAAATAAATAAAAAGAGACAGGAGGTGGGTGTGCAATGAGATGACTCAGCAGGTAAAGGTAATTCCCACCAAGGCTGAAGACCCGAGTTCCATCCCCAGACCTACATGGTAGAAGAAAATACCAACTCCTACAACGTATCTTCTGACCTTAATGTGTGTGCTTTGGCAAGCACATGCTCCAATGCTCCACCCCCTGCTACACACGAGCGTGCGCATATGCGCACGCGCACACACACAAATCAATAAATAAGTGTGATTTTCAAAAAGAAATGAAACAACGTAAATACAGCTGTTAGTTTTACCCAGGTTTAATCATGGAGCACCAAGCATGATTAAAATCAGCTCTTAACAGTGAGAGGCTGAGACAGAAGTTCTAGGCCATGAGAGTTCTAGGTCAGCGGCAGGTACACAGTACTCAAAGCCCAGGGCAGTATATCTTTAAAAAAAAAAAATAGGCAAAGCAAAACAGCGCCACCACCAAAATCCAAAGAAGCCGTGATCGCGTCAGTTCTGTTGTTCGGGATTTGTAATGGGAGCCAGCTTTAAATCTGTTTTGCAAAGGGAACTTGAGCAACCTCTTATGGCAACCTTCTTGTCTGGCTTTCTTTTTAATTCAATACATGTAGCAAGAGAAAAGCAACATTAGCCGGATTTTCAGTTATACAGTGTCCTTCACTGTTTACTGAGCACACACAGCTTCAGACAGTACTGGAAGTGCTGGCTATGAAGAAACACCTGCTCTTTCTGAGCAAAGAAAGGTCTGCCCTCCTGTACCAATTGAAATAACAGGCAGGGGCATGTGCAAGAATTTTCCAATCATTATGACCAAAGCGAAGCTCTGTGTTTTGCCGACTGTGTGCCCAGATGTTTTGTCACAGGACATACGAAGTCACAACATTCTGTTCAAACTGCTAGGCGAAGTTTTCAGACTCCACTGAGGTGGTGTACTTGTCCAAGGTGGACTGCTAGTAGCATGTCATATCTTAGGGTTTGGTTCTGTGACCATTTCATACATGTGCCTAGTTGTACTATATGAACATCTCCAGTAATCCACGTATCTTAGAGACAAATCTAAACTGTTAGATTCATCTCCATGTACCCAGGTGGTATAGTACATTTGAGCCCGTCTTCCCATCACGCTCATTATGTTACTAAATGTTTGTGTCCATGGAACAAATGGGTATTATCTTTAAGGTTACACTTTTATTAGATTGGAAAGGTTTTTGTTTGTTTGTTTGTCTTTAGTATGTGTTGATTGGGTCGGATTGGGTCGGAATCCATCAAGAATGAGCTCAAGTTCTTGACGGTTTTTCCATTTGCATATGAGCACTTTGGCCTGGGTTTGGGATTGGCCCTTTGGCGTGAGTGGACCAATCACAAATGTCCACAAGTTCCTATTAACCTTAGAGCAGTGGTTCTCAACCTTCCTAATGCTCTGACCCTCTAATACAGTTTCTCATGCTGTGCCGACCCCCATCCATAAAGTTATTTTGTTACTACTTCATTACTGTAATTTTGCCACGATTATGAATCATAATGTAAATATCTGTGTTTTCCAAGGATCTTCGATGGCCCCTGTGAAAGGGTCATTCGACACCCCCCAAGGGGGTTGTGACCCACATGTGGATAACCGCTGCCTTAGAGGCTGTCTGTTCTAATGGGAACACAGTTGGTTATCTTTAATTATTTGCTTTTCTGTGACTGGTGAACGCGATTTCTCCCAGTACAGATGCTAGAAAAATAGAGCCTTCCTCCTGCCTCTTTCCGGCCTTCAGCAAATAACTGTCACTTCCTTGAACCTGCTGTGACTTGGGGAGTTCCTCCACCTGGTTGCTGTGAGGCTCAAATGTGCTTCGTGAAAACACTTCGCAAGTAGTGTTTTCTGATTCCACTGCTCAGAGCTAACTTGACATTTGTGTTTATCGTGATTTTCAAGCGTGTTGATACTTGTGGTTTTAAGTGACTCTAGTGATTCTTCCTCTAAAATGCACTTTTCATGGAAATATGTTTCCAACACACACACAAATGTACTAAACAGTTTGCTTATTTATCTATGTTTATGGGGTGTGTGTGTGTGTTTTATCCCATAATTGAACAACTCGTCTTTGTTAACAAAACATACTTGTTGGGGCTTTCTTTTAAGTCAGTATCAATCATTTATGTGGTCTAAATATATTTAACCAGCTTTAGGGACAGTATAACTAAAAAGAAGGTAGCCATTTTTTTTTTTTTACTTTGCTAACTTTTTTTTTTTCCTGAATGAGCAATACCACCTGAGGCTATCTGATGTTTAGAACAATAATCTTTAGGAATTTAGTGGCATTGAAAAGACAATTGTTAGGTTAAGAACAGAATGTTAATATTTTAGTGTAGAGTCAGTCTTGTGGGCATAGACACTGTGTGTCTGTCACTGTGTCTGAGTCCCTCTCATGCTTCATGGAGTCATCTGAGTAGAGCAGTCTATAAGGGAATGTCAGTTCTTATGTGCTGAATAGCACTAGCCATGAGTCACATGGAAAGGCTTCATTTTGTTCTTCAGTTATATGTATGTATTTTTTAACAAGCCATTCGATAGGAACTTAATCAAGGTGGAAAGTTTGATGCTAAAAGAGTGAATCCATAGTGGGACTTCTGATAATGCATGTCTCCACATCAACCATGTTAACAAATGGGATTTAGAGGGCTGGAGAGATGTCTCAGCAGTTAAGAGTGCTTGCTTCTCTTGCGGAGAACCGGAGGTCAGTTCCCAGCGTACATGTCAAATGACTTAGAACCTCCTGTCACTCCAGCTTCCAAGGGCACCCATACACATGCATGTGCATATACACATAGTCTCACATACATACATAACAATAAATCTGTGTTTAAAGAAATTTTACTTAAAGATTTAGAAAACTGTCTCTGAAGGAATGAGTTCACTGTGAGTCATAGCGTTTGGTCCCAGGTACAAAAAGGAATGTGCTAGTGAGTGACCGTAGTAGTTGAGAGTCCATTGGTAAAGGTCCCTCCTTCATTCATTCCTCTGAAGCTGAAGCCTTAGTCACTTCACTTCATTCTGGAGCTCAGAAAGGGTCACAGGATTGGGTATGTTTGGACACTGATGAAGTTGCCACATCTCAAGAACACTGCAGGCAAAGGTAAGTCAGTCAGTGTGCCTGAGTCTGCCTTCTGCCAGCTCTGTGGATGGATCGGCTCAGCAGCCAGGCCCCACACTCTGCTGCTGGCCGTTTCTGGGTCCAGCGGATGGTGCTTGCCTCACCCTCTGCCTTCTCTCACTGGCCCCCTTGTTTGTCTCCTTCTCCGCAGACATCCCGAGCTTCCCGCTGGGCTGACCCTGACCACTTTGCCCAGCGCCAGAGCTGCATGAACACGTTTGCCAGCTGGTTTGGCTACATGCCGCTGATCCACTCTCAGATGAGGCTAGACCCGGTCCTCTTTAAAGACCAGGTCTCAATTCTGAGGAAGAAATACAGAGACATTGAACGGCTTTGAGGAAGCCCACTGAGTAGGAGAAGGGAAGAATATGGGACCGGAGTCCAGCTGCTCTCTCTTCCCAGTGCAGATCCGCTCGTCGATGGAGCCAGACTGTGCCAAGTATCAAAAACAAAAACAAAAAAGCAAAACAAAAACTTAGCTGAACACAATGACAACAAGTTACAAAGGCCAATGAGAACTCAGCTGGAATCCTGGCTCCTGGGACTGCACCAGACGGCTCCATTCGCCTCACTGGCTTCTGTGTCCCACGACTAGGTTGTGTACAGTTTAATTATGGAACATTAAATAATTATTTTTGAAATGATTGCTATGCAGGTTTAAACTTTTTTAATGATCAAAACTATTAAAAACCAGAGTTCTTTCTTTAATCAAAATTGTGTTGGGTGTGAATATTTCCAAGCTGCTACTCCCTTCGCTACAGACACCATGGCCATGAGTCACCCAGCATTTCCTGCGGTGACAGACACAGATCACATGGGAAGCACAAATCGGTTATTTGACGTAGTGTCAACAAAGAACTGGGCATACACTAAGACAGGTTCATATTCGAATTTTACCAGTGCAGATTGTTTTCCAGTTTAGGTGTTCAGATCCCCTCAGTCTCTAAAATGTTGCTGCATGAGAGAAAGTATTGACTCCAGGTAGGCAGTTCTAACCAAACACTTTATGTCTGCGATACTATAAGTATGATAATCTTTTTACATGGGAGTGGGTGGGGGGATTAGTACCAAGCAAACACTAGTAGATTTAAGGAATGTTGCACAAGGCACCAACAGCCCACCAGCATGTGTGTTATGGAAATAGTGATCCCACAGCTGAAACCCAATCCTTCCAGTGGTTGGCCTGTATGCTCAACCACTGATCCATCTAGCCATGATCTGGGAAAACCCTATGCTTTAGAGGCCAAGGAAAAAAACGAGTTCAGATTATTTATAAGACGAGCGATTTAATGTTTGTGAAAAAAATTCAAGTTGCAAAAGCTCTGTTGAGAAAAAAAAGAGATTCTGTGTAAATATACACTGTTTAAAAAGAGGATGCCTGGGAAGTTACTGAGGATGTCCCTTGCCATGGAACTCTCAGCCCAGTTTCGGTAAGCATTGTTTTAAGCAAATACTTGGCAATCAAATTAACCAGAAACAAATGTGTAGACTTCTTTCAGTTTTGAAACATGGAGAGAAATCTAGTTGTGCTTCTTGTTAAAAACAATATTTTTACTCCCACAAATACTGTCTTAAGTTTATGATTGTGAAGCATTAAGACTACAGGCACATACAACTCCACGAAGCACATCCCGGTGAACCATGGAGGCTTGTGGTATTAAATATCTATTTCTCCTTGAAAGAGCCAAGAGAGGATGAGTTATAGAAAGATTATTAGGGACTGCAGAATAATCTACAGCCACTTTAGTGTCTTTTTCCTCCATGAACTCTCCTACTTTTCATATATTCATTTCCGATTTTGTCTTAGAAAAGTTCATCAGAACTATGCACTGGCCGAGGTCAGTACAAATCAAATAACTCCAGTGGCCTCCAATCCATCCTTTCTTTGTAGACGTCTAGAAGAGAAAGGAACCATCCTAATATCTTGGAGGGGGTTCTGTAAACAAGAATGAGTGTAGGAGTTTGCTGAAGTCCTGAGAAATGACTCCATTGCCTGCCCAACAGCAGAGTAGGAATCAGAGCCCACACATGCCATGTTGTGAAGAGGTGCATGGGCTATGAAGTCCACTCAAAGAGGGGGTTTGTCTGCAGCTTTGTGACCCACAAATACCACTCTGCATTTCTCTCTCATCCAGTGTAACCCATCCTTAGCCTGCTTTCAAACATGGGGCATTCCTTAAATAGATGTGACATATCTTTAAGTCTTTCTCCAAATATGATTCTGAGGTTCACAGTACTTATATTTGTGTCTGTCAGTAAAATGCTCCCAAAGGTTTTCATATGAACTGCAATTCTCAGTATGTTAAAGGGTGAACAATGAATCTATTTGCTTATTTGTATTTAAAGGGTGGAATTTTTTAGAATGGTATTACTCATATCTTTCTCCTTTCCAAACATGAATGTAACATTTTTTTTTTTAAACCACCACAAGCTAACTTAAAACTTGCCAAGCAGTGTCCCTAATCGTACCAGTCACGTCCACGAGTGGATTCGGGGGACTGCCTTTCTAGGTTTACCTGTCACAGAGCTCACAGGGCACAGAGTCCCCACAAGCAACATGTGCAGTAATTACAAATGAGAACAGGAACTGACACACTTTTCATCTCCTTTAAATCTCCACAGTTGCATTTGATGTCATTCTCTTGAGTAATTCTCTCTGGGATGCCAGCTAGCATGTTCTTTTCTCATTTGGAATATACAGCTGGGAATTGAACAATGCTAAGCAAATCAGTGAGGCCCAACAGCAAGATGTAATTTTAATTCTCTTAGGGAAGAGTTGTAGATTGCATTGCAGCAAGTTGACAAATCACAGCCATTGCTGTAGAATGTCAGACGTTATCTCTCAGCTGGTTTGAATGATAATCAGGGGTCTCGAAGTGGGCCAACATGTGTGGAGTTGGTAAGATGCCAAGGGCAGAGAGTATAATACAAACCATCTAATGAATTGCATGAAGAAACTCCAGTGAGGACTCAGCCACTTATGATTTTCACACATTTTCTCCAGCTCTACATTATCACATGTGTTCTTCAAAGTGTTTTAAAAAGCTGGATATGTATTTATATGAAAAGATTTATATAGCCATCAAGGTTTACATGTACATTATATGTTAAACATAATCAATCACTTTTGTTGACAGTGACAAAAATGACCCAAACTTGAGACTATAGAGAAAAATCCATGCAATAATCCTTGTAGTCTTGTCAGAAAACATAGCATAGTGAAGTGGGTATACCAAGGCATATCAGCACATGTTTCAGAGATGATGCCTCAGAAGAAAGGAAAATCTCATACCTGGAATCTAATGTGCATTACAGTTTAACTTCTTGTTCTAAATGGTGCTCAAAGAAGGATCAATCCCAGTGGAGTCCTTCAATTTCCCTTTTGAAAATGATTTTTGCTTTTCATTACAGTAGGCTATGTTAGCCTTTATTTTGGTGGTTCTCAAATTCCTGGTGACTTGAAGGAATATTATGCTAGTGGCCTTTCATAAAGGTTGCTGAACTTTAATTTAATCAGGGGTGAGATGATTGATGTGAGTAAACCTATGGGCTATAAAAAAAAGTGCTTGATTTAACAACTAATTAAAGTTTAGTCAAACTCGTTGAAAGATGGAGAGGAGGCAGAAAGCCTCATCAGGGTAGAAGCTGAATGAGACTCATGCTGAATAAGATAAGTTATGAATGTAAGGGCTGGAACAAGCTTCCTCCACCTGGAAATGTCTTACTTTCCTAGGGGTCTCTAAAAGCTCCAATTTTAAGGCTATCAGCTCTTGCCAGGAACTCTCAGATAAAAATGTTCCTGCCTTCTGCATATAACCAGTACATCAGAGCTACAGTTGACAGGTTAATTCATTTACCTACTTTCCATTTATGACAACTATGAACAAGGGCCTTTAAAATACTTCTGCCATTGATGACTAGATGTGACCAAGAAAGCTCTTTTGTTGCCACCTCCATTTTTTTTCCCCAAGCTTGATGGGAACAAAGTTAGTTTGGGTTAAATTCTCAGTGAATAAACACGAATATTGAACTGCATTCAATTCATCTCGCTTAGTATGTGAAATTCATCATGTGGAGATGAAGTTATTCCTAGACTCCAAGTTTCTAGTTTTAAAAGGGGTGAGGTGGGACAGAGCATCCTAAGAAGGTTTTTTACCCCATCAATTTAGTAACAATATCCAGAAGCTCTGAATAGAAAACCTGTTGATTTTGATAGTGAAGGTGATTTCTGGCAAGAAGCCATCTCTCCTCTTCACTCTCCCAAAAGCAAAGGATGCTGTTTCTTTTTACTTAGCTGGAATTATAGTTGTCAGTATCCTAAAGTACCAATATTTTCTATACCAAGAGCATGGATGAGATACCCCAAATGGGCCTTCTGCTCCCTAACCCCCACAAAAATAGGTGGGAAAGCATCCAGGAGCAAGCTGAACCCTTGGAAAGGCAGTCTCACCCTTGTTTAAAATCGAGTCAAGCTACCCTTTTAGTCACACTATTTTTGTAATGATTTGCCTTTCAGGTCTCAAAGGTCATTTGATTTCTGCAATTGCATTCTGTTCTACAGGAATACATTTCTCTCATTTTAGTTGTAATTATTACTAAAATTGGGGCCATGCAAATGACCTGATTACCATGTAATGAACTTGTATATTTATGCTGAGAAAAAAAAATGTATAGGATAAGTTGAGGGTTAGGGAAAAAAAAAAAGACATGGAAAACTGGAAATATTTTAGGTGACAAATTGTAACAAAAAAAAGTAAACCTTATTTTGTATACAATGTACATTTGGGACAGTTTTCTAATATGTTGCCAATGTTTTTGTAGTGTCAACACAGGTCTTTTCTGGAGTGTTTTCCCCATTTGTTACAGAGTACTAATGATTTAGTGCAACTGAGTCCTAATGTGTGTGAGAGAGTGCAAGAAATTTCAAAGCCATAGATCTTGATTTACTTCACTGACCTGTGTAACTTTCTGTCTGGGTTTCGCCATTCAAGATAGATTGTTTTATAGAGTGTCACCAAAGACTTTTTCCTTCAGATTTATAGAAGAAAAAAAAAGAAATTATTAATAAATGACATGACTTTTCATCTGTGTGCTTCTCATTCCATCATTTCTCTTGGGTACAGAAGGATTCTGGTTCCAGAAAGAAGTGATGTTTGGGGAACCCTAAAGCTTCCACAGGAGTTCTGGGGAAGTCAGGCAGATGAGGTTCGATTGAGGATGCTGGGTGAAGGCCCAACTCTCAGAGCCTGGCTGCAGCCCAGCACCCAATAACAACCCTCTTCCAGGCCAGTTGCAGCTGGTACTGTTGGAAGTTGGCCAGAGGGAACGGTGGTGATGTGCCCAGTTCACAGCGTTCCTCCACATGGATGCTGGGACAAAGTGGCAGGACTGGGCCCCCAGAGCATCTGGAGCCTGACAGCTGTGGCCATTACCCCACTTGGTTTCAGCTACTGCCTGAAGCTCATGAATTACTGGCTGGCAAATTATTTATTAGACTGGTATTTCTCCAGGTGTGCTGTCGCTACCATTCAGGGCCACTACAGGGAACCTTGGTGGCGGGAATGAACCCCTTTCTCATACTTCTTTCTCTTTTCCTCTCATCCTCCTTTTCACCCTAGTGGTATGTCCTACCCATCTCTGCTACCCTTCTACCCTCTGTATTTACATACTTTTATGGAAAGATATGTCACTGACTTCACATATTTGCAATAGAGAAAAAAAAGGCTAATTACATTTGGGAGTACGAAGTTTGTGTTATGTATTTCAATTTTTCTGTCTGTAAAAGTGTCACAGAATAGTGTGGTGTGTGTGTGTGTACAACTACCCCATAACAAGCACTGTGCGAAGTTGGGATGTGGTTGGAGAAGGCAAGTGTAAGACACATCAGTGTTGGTTTATAAGTGACTGTGCCCATTCTTGAGTGTGAAACTTGAAAAATCTGGCCCCAGAATATGACTAATGATAGAATCATCCCCCAGTGGTAGGACAAATGAGAAGGCTAGTTGGATGAGTTACTTCTAAATTTGGTCCCAGCCCACCTCACAGATGTTTCAGTGAGAGCCACTGCTTGCAGATATACCTTGAGCAAATTACAGATTACAGATGGAGCTGCTTCATGGTCCAGACAGCTCCAGCAAGTCCACTGGTGAAAGGACTGGCGGTTATTTGTGGATACTGAGTCATCCTACACGGGCCTCCCCCGACTTGGAGCCATCTCTGGTTTGCAAATCTCAAGACATTGCAAGAAAGAGTGAAGCATGTACCATGTACCTGCTCTTCCAGATGCCACTGTGTTCCGCTGGATACAGAAGAGATCCGACGATCCTCACCTGGCCCAGCAGATTCAAGACTTACCAGTTTTTAACCTCATATGTATCAACTGTCCAAGTGCTCTGGTTACAGGCATCCTTTGGTACACACCTACCTAAATTAGAATCTTGACGCTTTCTCTGTAGATCTGTAACTTCATTAAACTCACCTGAACTTTCTGTGCCTTGGTTTCCTCATTTTAGTGTTATTATACACCTCATAAAGTTCTCACAAAGAGAACATGAGTTAATGAGTATAAAGTTATTTAAATATAGCAACTAGTATAAACAGTATGTAATTTTCACCTATTATTAGTAAATCAGTATTTTATCAAAAGAATATAAATTTAATTTAATAAAGTTAAATATAAATTTAATATCTTTCCCTTGACCTGATAAGGAAAAGACAATTTATCTTAATGTTTAGGATTTTATAACCCCAAATAAACCCTGGCCTTTCTCATATCACAGGCATCTCTTTTTTTCAATTAGCATCCTGTTTTAGTGCCTACCCACATGAAATCATCATAGCATTCAGGAATGAGCCATCCACTAGCAGAAATTATGCTAAATTGCATTTGTATTTTCTGGCTGAACTTCGTGGAGGGGCTCTGTTTTTCATTCTCAGTGGAATTTGTTTTAGGTAGCTCAGGACTTAAATGAAGCTTGGGTGTTAACCCTTACTGTTTTTCCTTTCCTGGTGGCTTAAATTGTGTGAAGAAAGAAGATATAATTCTTGCCAACCTGTAAATTATTTGCCAAGTTTGAATTTCTATTCCAAACTGAACATAAATAACCCGATTTCCTTGGCCAGATCTACTTGTAAAACTGGCCAAAATGTGTCTTTAATCAGACAGGAACGGACTGTCCTATGTTAGAGTAGAAAAATGTTAAGCTGGGAATAATGAAACTTTGAGATACTTTACCTATTCCCCATCGGACCATACATACATGTTATTTTACAACACACTTTTATAAAGTACAAATTTGAATGCCTGCCTAATACTCCATTATAAAGTTATTCCATATATGTCATATTTTTAACCCAACTTTTAACAATGAGAAATGCAAGTGTTTTATAATTTCTGACCATTTATAGTATATATTTCTTGGGTGTTTAATCAGTAAAATCAATGCTGTGGGAAATATTCCTAGAGATAAATCTAAGTTCACATCTATATCCGTTCTTTTAGGGTAATTCATGGATATGATGTTGGCATATAAATGTTATAATGTTTTAAAAGTTTTTGCAGCATAGTTACAGCATATTGGAAGAAAAGGTAAACTTACCTAAGAGAAAGACATAGGATTGAAGGAGGATATATATATATATATATATATATATATATATATATATCATATATCATATATGTATGAAATTAGCATATTTATTTTTGGTTGGCCACTAAGTTGTTAACTGTGAGGTTGAAGAGCCAATGCTGATGCTGAGCCATAACTGCTAAATGCCTGTGGTTTGAACTTTGTTAAAAATTTTCATAGAAAATACTATATAATAATAATGTTGACTATTAAAAATATGGAGATACTTGTTTTTAATAGCCAAGTAAATCCTCCATTATGTAAATGTACCATATTTTCTGTATCCATTCTTTGGTTGAGAGGCATCTAGGTTGTTCCAGGTTCTGGCTATTACAAATTAAGCTACTATGAACATAGTTGAGCAAGTGTACTTGTGGTATGATTGAGCATCCTTTGCCCAAGAGTGGTATTGCTGAGTCTTGAGGTAAACTGATTCCCAATTTTATGAGAAACTGCCATATTGATTTCCAAAGTGGCTGTACAAGTTTGCACTCCAACCAGCAATGGAGGAGTGTTCCTCTTGCTCCACATCCTTTCCAGAATAAGCTGTCATTTGTGTTTTTGATCTTAGCCATTCTGATGGAAATTTGAAGGCAAATGGATGGAACTAGAAAAAAAATCATCCTGAGTGAGGTAACCCAGAATGACAAACATGGTATGTACTCACTCATAAGTAGATATTAACTGTAAAGAATAAACATGCTACAATCCACAGACCCAGAGAGGCTAGGTAACAAGGAAGGCCCAAAGGGGGACACATGGATCTACCTGGGAAGGAGAAATAGAGGAGATCTCCTGGTTGGATCTCCTGTTTGAGGGGCTGGTGGGCATGGGAACTTGAGGGATTGGGTTGGAGGAGAGGTGGAGGGGGAGAGTGCTGAGAGACTGGAAAGGGGGGTCTTTACGGAGTCTGGTAGAAGCCTGACACAAGGGAAACTCCCACTAGTCTACAAAGATGGTCCCAGCTAAGACTCCTGGCAGCAGTGGATGCATCACCTGAACTGGCCAACCCCTGTGATTGGATTGGTGACTTCCCTGGTTGTCGTCAGAAAGTTTTTATCCAGTGACTGATGGAGGCAGATTCAGAGACCTATAGCCAAACATTGGTCCAAGCTCAGGGAAACATGCTGAGGAGAGAGAGAAGGGATTGTAGGAGCCAGGGGGGTTAGGGACATCAGAGGAAAACCCACAGAAATGCTAGCCTGGCTCATGGAAACTCAGAGTCTGAACCAACAACCAGGGAGCCTTCATGGGACAGACGTAGGCCCTCTACATATATGTGACAGTTGTGTAGCTTGGTCTATTTGTGGGACTCCTGGCAATGGGAGCAGGAGCGGTTCCCTGGTGCTTTGGCTGGCTCTTGGGAACCTATTCCTCATGCTGGTTTGCCTTGTCCAACCTGAAAACAGGGACGAGTGCTTGGTCTTATAGCAGCTTGATTTGCTATGCTTTACTGATACCCATGGGAGGCCTGCCTCTTTCTGAGTGAATACAGAGGAGGGGTGGATTGATAGAGGGACAGAAGGGAGGTGAAGGGGAGAGAGTGAAAGGAGAAAAAGGAGGGGAGGCTGTGGTCAGGATGTAAAATAAAGTAAATTAAAAAAAAATCTATGTATGTCCAACCTCATATTCGAGTCATAGAAATATGAATAAATAGCTGATGCTCACCTGTAAGCTTTATCCCTACTGGCTACCTTTCATAATGCTGAAAGATAAGGTGCACACTACCAGAAGAGAAAGGAAATCACTGATATCACCAGCTGTGAACCCTGCTATAAAAACAACCTGCCTAGTTAGTAAGTCCACTTGTGAAATAGTGGCATGAGTGTTATGGGAGTAAGCAACATTTTTTTTTAAAGACTGTATTTAAGGACCACTTCATGAGATGGAACCAAAATTTGACACTGTCAATGAAGCCAAGAACTTGTGGTGTCTATGTGGAAACCTGCTATTACTATTCTGCTAAGTAGAAATGGCAATAAACTGACTAGTGACTTCTTATGCTCATAGATCAGTGCATAGTTACACCCTCATCAGAGAAGCTTCTTTTTTTTTTAGTAGATTGTAGTTAACACAGAAAATTCCAACTGGTCAATGTGTAGAGAATAAGAAATTTCAGAATCCTTAGCCCTAAATATGATGTGTATATTACACCCCTCCCTCAAGGCTCAGGGATCCTTGCTGAAGAGAGAGAAGGAATATTGTAAAAGCCAGAGGTGGTAGATGACTTCATAGAAACAGGATTTTACACACACAACAGAAAAGTGTACTTATGAACTCAAGATGACTGTGAAAGTATGCACAAAACCTGTACAAGCTAAAACCAGACAAAAATCCCAGCACAGTGGAAATAAGGTCGGCACAAAGTCCCGCTCTTAGCTGAAAAGCTATTGGCATTTGATTGCTGATAGAGAAAGTCAGTTTTCTTTAGAAGTGTGATACCTGTCATATTGATC